AACAATTCAAACCAAATCATACCAAATTACTATTTCCTTTATATCTTTTATATTTGTCTTATTACCTATCCACTGTACTCTATCACAAACTTTATCTTTGATCATCTTTATAAAATTATTTATTATATAACTCTCACATTTAAGCATATCCTCCAAACTTTCAAAGATTTATGCCACCATTCAAAAATATTTTCCTATATAACATATGCATTCAACAATGGTCATTTAAATTTACCACCTTTCCTACACTAATAGTTTATAATATCAATAACAAAATATAAAAATATGATTTGAGGGCAACATCATTTTAAATTGCTGATGTGGCCATCACAATTTGACTGTGACAGTCACATGTGCAGCATCTATTACCAGGCACTTGCACATCAACACTGTAGAGCTGGTGGTTCTCGAAGGACGACCACAATGGCTTGTGCTTGTCATATCCTGCACGCCACAGAGAAAATGAAATAGAAACTCCAGGCAGGATCAAAGCTATACCTTTATCAATGTGCTTGAGGCAGTTTAGCAGCAGCTGGTAAGCATGTTTCTTCTCAAAGTGAAAGGCCGCCCAAAATTTCGGTGTACTTGAGCGTGTGATGCAGGAGATACCCCTGGAGGGAGTTGGTGGTAAGATCAGAGTTGCCCAGCACCTTAAAGGCTTGGCCGAGGACACGGTTGTCTAGGCGGAGCATCACCATCCACAGAAACTCTCCAAACTCTTTGTAGGCTTCCTGGGTGGGTGGTTTGCTCACCTGAGAGAGCTTCCTGCATTCGCTGCGGATGCTCGCGCTTGCTGTGAGGATGCCGCTCCTACTCCTAGTCGCGCTTATCAGCCGCATCAACATTTTCAAGGGTTTGGCGTTCTTTGCTGGGTTTTGTTTTAGTATAGGCATCTCAACGAGGCGCAAGTCGATGCGCGTGCTGCGGACCAGCGCCAGGCAGGCGCTGAAGCTGGCTGCCTGGAAGAACGAGGAATGCCTCGTCTAGCCTACCATGGTGATGACCAGGTAACCAGGCATTCATCATGAGCATGGAATTCCACGAGACTGGAGTTCGATGAGGCATCTCATCAAACAAGCGCTTCGACTCGACGAGCTTTCCATTTGTGCCACATAGTAACAGGTTGGTGTAAGTCACAGCGCTTCTTCCCAGCATTCTTTCAAAGAAATGGTTCGCGGTGTCAAAGTGTCATTTGAGGCATAAGCGCATTCCACGAGCAAAGATTTCTGTGGGGAGTATTCCTAAAGACAAATGATGCCGACACTAAGTCTTCCTTTTGTGAGTACGCGCCTATAAATGTGTTCCAAGCACCGGGATCTTCGGTGTAAAAGATGTGTTTCACATCTTCTAGATACCCATTGAGGGCATATGCTGAGATTAAAGAAGCCCAAGATTAAGAATCTATACAAGGCATTCTAGAAAAGAGTTCTAGAGCTTGTGAAAAGAAACGTTACCAAAGAAAAAAAAAATGCGTTATATTGCAAGAGATGAGATTTATCGAAGGCATCAAAGCAAACATCACTACCGCCTGCTCCAGATGCCCATTCTGGGCATATCCGGCTATCAAAAAGGTCCAAGTCACTATCGGGGATTGATCGAACAAAGCTCGGGCAGTGTGTTGCTGACCATTCTGCGCACGACACAGCGCTCTTCTTGGGGATGAAATGCATCGCGTGGTCAAGGGATCACCTGGGCGAATCCCGAGACGATAGTAGTGAAGGAGAAGATGCTCCAGCACAGCATTCTCTCGAAAATCTCCCGCGAATCGCCCATGAGCTCCTGCTGGGCAAAGGCCTGGAGGATCGAATTCCACGAGAAAATGTCCCTGTGTGGCATCCCGCGGAAGAAGAAGGCCGCGCAGGCCTCGAATTGCGCTGCCTCGGAGAATGCCTGTAAGAGGTCTGGATTCGCGGTGTAGACGGCCTCCGCATCCCTGCATTTGCCATACATGTAACGATCATGTTGGAGAGGTGTCGATTCGGCCAGTAGCTGGTCTCCAGGATCCGCGCGTGGATCCTCCTGGCGTGAGCCAAATCCCTGGCAGAGACGAGCTCATACAGGGCCCCTGGATGTCGTCCACGTGGACAGTTAGATGGATTCCAAAGATTCGCATCTTTCTTTGCATTGCAAATCTAAAACTCCTTCGTGTTGAGCACTGCAATCCGATAAATCCCTGTCTCAAGATCCACATTCATCGTCTCAATGCTAGAGCATCTTCCAAACTGTTTGTGAGCAGATTGGCCACAGCCAGAGACCTTGAGCGAGAGGCAGAGAAGTGGGCTCGAACAGGCGGCCGGAGAAAGGATGCACTACTTCCTGAGGCAATCTAACGAGCGAAAGAAATGCAGTACCAGGAGCGGCACCACCACTCGCATCCACATATGCTGTAGAACATCGAGTCGCAGGAATATGCCCACGAACAAGTCTTCCTCATCGACCCGATCGAAGGCCCATCGCCATACTACCTCGCGATAGGGAGAAATAAAAAATATGTGGAAACTTTTGGGGGACAAATCCCAGAGCGCCTACGAAGGAGGAGTGTGTCTGTGTGGATGTTTGTGAGTTGGGCTCGTTTCCGCACTATTCTCCGTTGACGCTGCCGACAGGTGTAACTTCATGGACACCTGGGAAACTAGCGAAAAACATCTGTGTGTTTATACATGCGCTGATGGCAGCGCATGCACTTCCTCATCATTCTAAGTTTTGATTTGATCATAGAATGTTATTTGTTGTGATATTTAGCTGTCCAGAATCCAGACCTGCGAGCTTGCGGCTCCTATATGGAGCTGCATCCCTCGTTTGTTCATCTTAAGTTACTAAGTTTGTAGGCTCGACCTGGTTGGGAGTCTCACTTACTGAGAAAAGAAACTGTAAACTAAGAGTGCAAGATTTCCCAGCGCTTACTTGATTGCTCATCTTTCCACTTTGGTTTGCAACAAATTGTTGCTGTTTATTTTTTCCACTTTTCTTGCCTGATACACCCACGGGAGTCTAGAACTTCGGATAGCAAAGAAATGACCGAAGAATCATTTGCCTTCCAAGCTCAGACATACCGTCGTATATATATCTTTCTAGTTGTTTTGAGAAGATTTAGCAACCACTGACATAATCCGCCTTGAACTGGCAGCCGTCATTGTAAGTCTTGACACCACACTTGGCGCAGTTACGAGCACGGAGTTCGTCAAAGGCAGTGATCATCTCAGAGCCAGTGAGGTCGCAGTTGGAGCCAGAGACAAAGAGGCCACAGCGGCCGGAGCAGACGCCAGTGGAGCCTTTGTTGCCGCCGGTGAAGTAGCGGTTGCTAGGCTGAATCTGGCGGCGAGCAGCATCACAGTCGCTCTGTGCGAGACCCCTGCACAGTGCAGAGCCAGCGCACGAGTAGGAGTCCTGAGCATAAGAGCCTTGCAACAACATGATGATCATGAGATTCACAACAACTAAGACATTGAGAGCTAGCGCCATGTTCGTCGACTTCATGGTTACTAAGTTACTGATAGATCTCGAGCCCATTATTTATATGGTGTGGGCTGGCATAGAAGCGGGTCTAGCTTTGCTTCCAGCAAGACTCCAAAACTTAGGCAGTCAAGGAGGACCCCATTTATTAATGCATACAGGTCACAATTTAACGACTTTCACATAGATGGACACGTAGAAGAAAGTTCTATAGAATTTCAGTTGCATTTTATTAAAATCTCATTTTTCTTTGTTAAAAATTTGCTCTTCTGTCACTGGCAATAGTGTTTATATATATCAGCTCGATCTACATTGCGGAGCCACCGAGTCCATTGGCAGGCTAATGGCCCAGATCACCTCATTTTGATCATAATATCTGGTAGCATTGTCCTTAGGAATAGTACTAGTCAAGATCTAAATAGGTAATACATACATACATATATATATATATACATATGTATATATTACTATTTTTAAGATATATTTAATATTTAATTATATACACATTCAGATAAATAATATTAAAAAGAGAAGCTTGTAATATATCAAAATAAATTAATTAGTATTTAAGAAGGTCAGCTTTCATAACTGTAAAAAGAACATTGATCACTGTTTGGTGTTGGGTGTGAGGAGTATATGTACAGTATCATGAAGATTATTTTAACTCAATAAAAAAATTCCATCATTGCTGCAGTCAAATCCTGAATGCCCCATTCCAAAGAGAGAGCTATGCTTGCCCTTGCCTAGGGAACAACCTTAATGGGCTGTGGCAACAGACACATGGAATAACATTATTTGAGGATGAGAGGGTTCTCCAGAACCTGGTAGTTGTCAACCATGTTCTCATAGAGAACCTGACTTGATCTGATGGCTGCCAACGGCTGGATTGAGTTAACAAGTGAGCCACAGCTTGTTAAGGTAGGAGAGTGTTTTGGGAGTCAGTTGTTTATATTCTCCAGTACAATTCAGGAAAGTGGGTCATTGAATCCATGACTTTTGGCTATGTCCAATCTTGGGTACAACCAGAGCTTTGAGGGAGAGGATCACTTCTATAACCTAGACACCATGCATTGGAGTCAGCAAGCAGTGAGCCAGGATCCATTTGGCTATTGGGACTACACCAAGTATCCAATACGGTATGAGAGGATTTCATTGGTACACAAGGAAGCTAGAGAAGGATGGGGAGCTTGGTAAATGGGTCACACTCACCCATGGTCGTATCTGGGAAATACTAGTGGCCACTTCATGACATCAATGAAGAATGGATGGCTCACCTTAATTTTTTGTGTTCTTAATTTATATTATGGTGTACACTATAAAAATGCAGTTATCGTTTATACTATTACCATCTCATCTGGTGGAGAAGTGGGAGTATTGTAGTTATTTAGAAAAAGAGCTTGCATAATTTGGAAGCCTGGAATACAACCAACACTTTCCTGGCCCTATATGATATTTCCACTAATCTTAAAATTGGAGAACTAAATAGAATTTTTATATTTTGTTATATGTAAGGAATATATGTAAAACTAGTAATTGCCCAGAAAATGTTGGTTAAATTAAGCAGTATTGCAATCTATTTTTGGCATGCTATTATGGTCTCCATTTGGGAGGTTGCTGTTCGATGTACTTTAAAATGTATCTGAAAGGCTTTCCCAACCGCAGGTGGTGCTCAAAACCTTCTCCCAATAACTTGAAGCTGCAAAACTCGGGAGGAAGTAGTTTAGTTGGTGCTTTTGCTTGCATGGAATCCCTCAATAAGGCTCAATCTGAGAGTTAAGAACAGAAATTTCCAAAAAAAAAAGTTGCAGTTCTCTTGCCTTGAGAAAAAAACTAAAGTCCCCGTCCTTTCTTCACAGTGGCAGCCTTCTTCTTGGCAACGACCGCTTCTCTTTCACATAATTATGCCTGTAATCACACGTGGGCGAAACTGAACATTTGTTTCTCTAATTTTTGTCCTATTATCCAGGCTTTACACTTGCATGCAACAATGCAGGCCGAGAAACTTCAAGATTCAAAGTACCTGTTTGTAAGCCAAGTCGAATCGCTTTTTACAGCCTCTCCGTCCTGGTTACGGTGCCAATAGTAGAACGCATGCGTCCTGTTTTTGATCTCGAGCATTGCGTGACCAAAACTCGCCTCGCGATATGCCGAGTAGTTTGGCTGCGGTTGCGTGAAGCTGGGAAAATGTCCGTATAAATCTCACAGGGCCGGAAAGAGAAGACTAAGAAAAAACCACCTACTTTCCAGCGAGCCCTTCTATGTTTCCTCCATCGCCGACTGTTATGTAGACAGGCGCAGACTCGTTGCGAGATGGAGAGCATTGGCCGTTGACAACGTTGTACTCGATATTAGAGACGCGGTGCTGTGGTCACAAAAGCATTAAGAAGAGAAAGCAAGAAAAGAGAGAACAAAACTTACACTCCGTTCGTATGCATGAACGTGCCCGGCAAACACAATGTCGACTTTGTATTGCACAAGCCATGCTTCGAATTGCACACGCATCGTTTCGCCCTCCATGTAGTGATACATGTTACTGTTGTACCACGGGGAATGCATCAAAACAATCACCCACGGGGTTTTCTTCCTGTTTATATTCTGGAGGTCATTCTGCAGCCATGCCCACTGCGGGGTATATTTCCCTGCACGACCGTTGCTTATAAGAAACATTAGTTCAGCAAACCATTCGCAAACCATATGCGGAGTATGAAGACAGCACGATGATGTGCGCTGACGCCCTGTTGATCGAATACCAGAGCTGCGATGTACTCTTTGATGAACGATGGGGTGTTTGATAGCGATGAAGATACGGCTTGAATGGTACCACCTCGCTCTGGAAGAAGTTAGCACCGCCGGAAACTTGTAAGCTATATAACCTGGGCTTACAAATTCTGGACGGTAGTCTAGCTCGTGGTTTCCTGCCGTCCAGATCCAAGGTTGATACGCGGTGCTCGGCTCCACCAATCGACCCCAAGTGTCCCAGCGAGTATTGTCGCCCAAGGGATAATGATCGGCGTATGAGAGGTCTCCGACGTAGAGAACAGTCTGTCCGCTGCTGTTTAAGTAGTGCTGAAAGGTGTTGAGGGAGTCATACGTCTGTCCGAGATCTCCTGCGACAGAAGCAATCGTCGGTTTGGAAAGGATATAATAGAAAACAGCGACACAAACCTATGACGCCAAATGTGTACGCAACGTCGGGGCCAGATTTCGGTGGCGTGACGAACCAGAATTCTCGAGCGCATTCTCCGTCACCGAGTCTGTAGTAATACTTCGTAGCATACTTTGGACAAGGAAGAAAGAACCAAAAACAAGGAAAATTACAAACACAACAGTGAGTCGGCCAGAAAACTGTAGATCATATCAAACACACCTCGAGATTAGTGAGCTTCACATGGTGGATGTAGCCAGATGTGTAGTTCGCGTACTTATATCTTGTGATGTTTCCAGTCGCCGTTCTCGAGTACTTTGCGGTCTCGTTTCCAAACGTTACAGCCAATGATCCAGGTTGCGACGGAGTAACCCAGGAAACGATCATGGAATCCGCAGTAACACTCCCTTGCGTTATGTGGACCTGGAACACAAAGTTCTAATCCAACCGAGGAGTTATCGCAAAGAAAACCTGTTCTGGCGCATTTCCACAGCCTGCTAGATCAGGAGGTCGCAGAAATTCGCTGCCGACGGGCAAATCCTCCGAGGCTTGGAGCCTCCGCCGGTAAGGGCTTGTGATTCCCGAGGAGCCGCATCGGAGCTGGAGCTGGAAGATGAGCGTGAGAAGCAGCAGCGGCAGCCCTGCAAAGCATAGCTCAAGAATCGATCGCTGCAATGTCGCACTGATCGGCGCTAGAGAATACCTGAGGCGAGAGCATTGATCGCCATGCCCGATTCCACGCCCGCCCGCCTTCGCAGGGCGTCCTGGCAGGCGCTGCTGCGATGGAACTTTTATATGAGTCAACACATTGATCAAACAAGGCGGGACATATTCGCATCTATTCGTTTGCATGTCGTGCTCATATAAAATACTCGTTCACATCATCTTCGCGGCTCCGTACGAGGACTGTAATGGACCACCACCTTCCCGTACGGCCTATCGATACCTTGGACTCCAACAAGCTCATCGAGACTTACGGAAAGAATGGAAGAATCGAGCACGCAGAGCGCATCTTTCGGGCCATGGAGTCCAAAGATCCCTTCACTTGGATGTCGATGCTGCGCGCATATTCCCGGAATGGGTATCTGCGAGAAGCGAAGGATCTTTTTGATGCCATGCCCGGAAAGGATGCCGTCTCGTGGACAGCTATGCTTGCGGCATATTCCAAGCACGGGGACATCAATGCATCCAAGATGCTGTTTGACAAGATGCCATGCAAGGATCTAGTGGCCTGGAATGCCATGATATCAGCATATGCCGCAAACGGGCATCATAAGAATGCTATTGACTTGTTTGACCAGATGCCACAGCGAAACTACGTGACGTGGACCACGGCGTTGACCACATTTGCACAAAGAGGCCAATTAGCGGAAGCAGAGAGAGTGTTTAGTGAGATGCCCGAAAAGGATGTGGTGTGCTGGTCTGCCATGCTAACCGCATATACCCAAAGCGGGCATCTGCACCGCGCAAGGGATCTTTTTTACCAAATGCCGGCTTGGAGCGTCCTGTCCTGGACGGCGATCTTCTCTGCCCATGCTCGCCACGGGGACCTGGAGCGCGCGAAGGAGATCTGGGATGAAATGCCGGAGAGGAATCTAGTCTCCTGGGCGGCGATGATGCATGCCTTTGTCCACACTAACGCTGCCACAGTGAAAGAGCTGTTTGATTCAATGCCAGCGCGGGACATTGCCGCGTGGAATGCGCTGCTCGCCGCAAGCACCCAGCAAGAAGACCTGGTTGTAGCTAAGGAAGTGTTTGATCGAATGCCAGAACGGAGCCTCGCGTCCTGGACCGAAATTCTCACGGCTTTGGTGAGGGCCGAGAACCGGGACGGAGCCAGTAGGATCTACCGAGAAATGCCCGAGCAGGATCTTGTTGCCTGCACTGCGTTGCTATCGATCTTCTCCCAGGATCTAGAGGCGGCCAAGCGGTTTTTCGATGGGATTCCAGAGCTCGACAGCGTGTGCTGTAGTGCCATGGTCTCCGCATATGCTCAGGCTGGGCATATCGCTCAAGCTAGAGGGATCTTTGAGCAAATGCCAGAGAAAACCATCGCGGCCTGGAATGCAATGCTGTGCTCGTATACCCAAAACGGGCATATGGAACTTGCATGCTCTCTCGTGGAGACGATGCCAGAGCTGGACGTGGTGTCGTCCATCGCTATGATCTCAGGTTATGTCGAGAAAGGAAACATCCAAGAATGTAAAACGATATTTGATCAAATTCTTGATCACAACGTTGTCTCCTGGACTGCCATGCTAGCTGCATATGCCCAACTTGGGCATGTCGACGATGCAAAGAAGTTTTTCGATAAAATGCCGCAAAGGAACTTGGTTTCGTGGAACACTCTCCTGTATGCTTACTCGCAGGCACAACGAGTCGAGGAATCCAAAAAACTTTTTGACACAATGCCTGAGAAAGACTCTACGTCCTACGCAGTGATGTTGGCTTTGTACACTGGACGCCAAGATCTCGAGCAAGCATGGTGTGTTTTCGAGAAGATTCCAGAGCCAAGCGTGACATGCTACACGACTATGCTCGTCTCTTACGCTCAGGCCGGGGTTCTGGGCCAAGCGAAGCTCGTCTTTGACAGAATTCCAGATAAGAATCTCGTGTCACGGAATGCCATGCTCTACGCATACTCCCACAACCATCAAGCCAGGGAAGCCAAGGAATTGTTTGATGCAATGCCCGAACGTGACACCATCTCTTGGTCGGCGCTTCTAGCAGCAAGCGCTCAAACCATTGACGCCTCTCGAAACTTTTTCCAGGCGATTCCGGAGCACAGCTTAGTGTCTTGGACGGCATTGGTGGTGAGATACGCTCACAGTGGTTATCTCAAAGAGGCTGCCGAGATTTTTCACACGCTAAACCTGTATGAAATGCCGAAAGAGAACTGTTTTTCTTCGCTTTTCCTGGCTTGCAGCCACAAAGGGAAAGCCTATGCGGCTAGGTGCTGGTTTACTTCCATGGTTGTGGATTTCTCGCTCGCTCCTGGAAAACAGCATTACTGTTGCATGGTTGACATCTTGGGAAGAGCTGGGCATTTGAGCGCCGCAGCGAACTTGATCGCCAACATGCCTTTTGCGCCCGATTCTCTGGAATGGAAAAGTTTCCTTGGAGCTTGCGGTAGACACAATGATCTTGAACACGGAGCTCGAGCTGCCGAGAGCGTTCTTGACGTGGAGCCACGAGACTCCGCGGCATATGTACTGCTTTCGAATAGCTACAGGAGAAATCCAATGCTAGCCTCTGCCTAACAACACCGGAGGATCAGTTCCAACCTCTTCTTTGGATCGAGTTTTGTCCATTTCTTGGCAAGCATTTGGTGCCAAGATGCAAGCTTGCGACAGCAGCACATATGGAGCTCCTTTCTCTGGAATGACATCAAAGATGGATTTCGTTGCTTCCTTGGCTCGTTCGTGGAGCTCACAGCCTCTGTGAGACCCAAGCACAGACGTCCAGTCCACACCATTAGCTTCAAAAGGCATGTTTTCGATCAAATCTCTGGCGTCTCTCGTGTAGCCAGCTCGAGTAAACAGGTCCACCATGCAGCAGTAGTGCTGCTGCGAGGGTCTCATTTGGTGGCCCTCGATCATCCCAACAAAGAAGTCTCTTCCACTCTGAACTTTGCCTTCGTGACTGCAAGCAATCAGGATCAGTATCAAACTCAGCTCGTCGAACGAGTCCGCCACCTTCATTTCGAAGAAAAGCCTCTTGGCCTCCTCCAGCTGCCGGTTTTGGGCGTAAGTTGCCAGCATCGCGTTCCACGAGATGGTGTCTCTTTCTGGCATTTCTTCAAAGACTTTCTTTGCTTGATCCTTGCGGCCATTGTGGCTGTAAGCAGCAAGCATCGAAGTCCACGAGACTGGAGAGTGGTACGGCATGCTGTCGAATATAAACTTGGCTTCCTGGATATAACCATGTTGGCTATACCCGCTAAAGGTGGCGTTCCAGGAGATGATATTCCTTTCGGGCATTTCATTGAAAACCATCTGTACTTCCTCGAGATATCCACCTTGGGCATATCCGGAGAGAACAACATTCCACGAGACAAGATTGCGATGAGCCATAGTCTCAAAAAAGTGTTGCATCCTCTTTAGATCTCCACTCTGGAAGCTAGCGCCCAACAAGGCATTTTGAGACACCACGTTGTGTTCTGGCATTTTTTCAAAGAGTTCTAAAAAGTTTTCTAAATCTCCTCGATGAGCATATGCAGTTAGCATGGCATTCCATGACACCAAGTTCCACTGAGGCATGCTCTCGAAAATGTCCACGCATTTCTCGATAAGCCCATATTGGGCATATGCGGAAAGCATTGCCGTCCAAGATATCACATTTCGCTGCGGCATCTCGTCGAAGAAAGATCTCGCCTCTAAGGGAAATCCATTTTGAGCATAGGCACTCATTAATGTATTCCAAGAGATTAAGTTCCATTGGGGCATTCTATCGAACGCCAACTTTGCCGCAGAAAGATGACCATTTTGAGCAAAAGCAGCGAGCCTGGCATTCATCGAGATAAGATTTTGCTGTGGCATTTCATCAAAGATTCTCTCGGCAAGCTCGAGATGCCCGTTTTGGGCGTACGCAGCTAGCATAGAAGCCCAGGAAATCAAGTCCCTCTCCGGCATGGCATCAAACACCAGCTTGGCTTTCTCAAGGTGCCCATTTTGGGTATACGCCGCAAGAACAGCATTCCAAGAGCTAACATCATGTTGTGGCATGGCCTCAAACATCGTCAAGGCTTCCGCAAGATTCCTATTTTGCGAGTAAGCGCTGAGAATTGCGTTCCAAGAAACGTAGTTCTTATGTGGCAGCTCATCGAACATTACTTTTGCAACCTGCAAACGCCCGTTCTTGGCATATGCTGCAAGCATGGTGTTCCAGGCGGTGACGTCCCACTCGGGCATTTCATCGAACAGCTGCTTTGCTCGATCAAGGTGACCATTACGAGTGTATGCAGTGAGCATTGCGACCCAAGTGAAGACACTCTTTTTCTTCTTGTCCTCGATTGCCGCAAAGATCTTCCTAGCATCCTGGACGCTGCCGCAGCGCCCATACATCTCGATGAGCTTGTTGGTGACGAAAGGGCTGGTGTTGCTGGGAAGGGTCGCGTGAATTTTTCTGGCTGTTGTGAGGTCATCGCAGCTCTTGATCAGTTCGATGCAGTCCCGAGGCTGAAGCATTCCATCTGTTTTGGTTTTGATTTTCGATAACCAATAGTTTTGTGACCCACGCTTGATTGAAACTCATGCTCTTGCCCGATCCATCAATGGGCAGCACGACGCATTCGTTCTTTGAGCCAACGCCATTCGAAGCCATGGTCGCATCTACAAAGCTTATAATCGCAGAGGCCTCAAAAGGGCATATGGACAAAGCTCGTCTCATCTTTGACGCAATGCCGCAGCACGATTCCATCTCCTGGAACGCAATGATGTCAGCGTATTCCACGCATGGCGATGCTGGAAAAGCAAAAGGGTTTTACGATAGAATGCCCGAGAAGACAATGCTCTCGTGGACATCTATGATGGCTGCATATACCACAGCTGGGGATTTTGAGCGTGTCAAATGGTGTTTTGATCATATGCCCATGCGGGACGTTGCGGCATACAATGTCATGCTGAACGCGTACTTAGACGATGGTAACATATTTACGATGAGAATTTTGTTTGATGAGCTTCCAGAAAAAGACATAATCTCATACACAACGATGCTGTCTGCTTATTCCCAAAGTGGGAATCTTGAAGAAGCAAAGATGGTATTTGATGGAATGCCATGGAGGAGCATCTACTCCTGGAACGCACTGCTCGTAGGATATGCCGAGAATCAAGACCTGGAGGATGCGAGGTATTTCTTTGATCGCATGCCACAATGGAATGTAGTTTCCTGGACAATAATGATTTCTGCATATGCCAAGGCCTTTCGCAGCACAGACGCCATGAGCTTGTTTAGAGAGATTCCAGAGTGGGATATAGCTTTGTCCAATGCAGTTCTGAATGGTTTCAATGAATCAAGGGATTTGGAAAAGGTAAAACGATTCTTTGACGAGATGCCGGCTTGGAATCTAGTCTCCTGGACCACTTGCATTCAAGCATTCGCCTTGGAAGGGGATATCACAAACTCCCAGAGAATCTTCGACATGATGCCTTGTAAGAACCTGGTTGCTTGGAACGCCATTCTTTCAGCTTACATTCAAAATGGAAACATCAAAGATGCCATCCATACATTCAAGGCTATGCCCCAACACGATCAAGTGTCATGGACTAGCATGCTCTCTGGATACTCACGCTCCGGGCATCTTAACGAAGTTGAGTCTTTGTTCGAGCGATTGCCTTGCAAGTGTCTTTGCTCTTGGAATTCTCTGCTGGTGGGATATGCTGATAACTTGCATGTGGAGAAAGCCAAGCAAGTCTTTGAGAAAATGCCCCAGCATGATCAAATCTCATGGAATGCACTGCTTGAGGCATATTCTAGAGTTGGCGACCTTGCAAAAGCAAGGGGTATTTTTGAGGCTATGCCCGATAGAAATATTGTGTCCTGGAACACAATGCTCACTGCTGTTTCTTGTAGAAACTACTTGGGGAATGCATGGAAGCTTTACAATATGATGCCTGAGCATGACTTGGTATCGCCCAGCATACTTTTGGCTGCATATTCTCATGACTTCGAAAAATCTAGTCAAATCTTCCACTGTTTAAGTATTATACATTCTCCAGACAATGCGAGTTTTACATCACTTCTTGCCTCTTGCAGTTGTACAGGGACACTCTCTAAAGGACTAGCTTACTACCATTCTATGTCAATAGATTATGCTTTGGTTCCAACCAAGCAACACTATTCTTGTATGTTAGATTTGTTCATTCGATCTAATCATCTTCAAGAAGTAAACGAACTCTATCAACAACACATGAATTTATTTTAATATTTTAATTCTTAAAAAAAAAAACATATTGAGCCCTATTGAGAATTATATTGAGGTTTCATCACAATTATAACAAATTCAAAGCAATGTTTCTTATCTGAACGGAATCGTTTAAAGGAAGGTTTATAAAGTAAATTACTATGTAGGACTAGGTCGTGTTGCAATAAAGAACTGGAATAATGAGTGAGCCAGCGGCAGGCGACACTCTTACAATGGCGGCGCTCAAAGTGCTGTGCATGGGTGATCCATGGAAGAAGGCCGAGTATGGAGACACCGCCGCCACTCTCTGGCAGAGCGGAGCCATTCTCGTGCCCTATGCCACTGCACAAGAACAAAAAGTACCGGATCATCCCGCCCGCAACTCCATCGTAAGTTTCCTCTTTGATGTCCATTTGGAGCTCTGTTAGAACGATGCTCTCTCGCTAGGTGAAGCTGGTGGCTCCTCAGCAAATGCCCAAGCTCGGCAAGGCCGGTAGCTTGCTAAGCCGCAAGGCGCTTCTCCACAGTCTTGTCAACATCGAGAGCTGGGCGATCGATCTTTCTTGGGTATGTTCTCCGGACAAAATCTCTGTCCACTACTTTATAGTAAACACTTGTGTGTTGCTCAGGATATTATAGCTCGATTTGGCGAGGAGGAGCGGCTGCCAAGGGAGTTCTTCGACGATTTCGTCCGGGTTGCTCAAGACGAAGGCAGGCATTTCAGGCTCCTGGCTGCTCGGCTGGCGGAGCTGGGATCCTTCTACGGCGAGTTTCCTGCTCACGAAGGCCTGTGGAGCTCCGCTATCGAGACGTCCGGCGATCTAGCAGCCAGGCTCGCCGTGGAGCATTGCGTTCACGAGGTTGGACTCTCTGTTTGCTTGAAGATCTTAACTTGAAACTTTGATCGCAGGCTCGGGGTCTCGATGTTCTTCCGACCACCATCTCGCGTTTCCGGAAGAATGGCGACGAGGAGACTGCCAAGCTGCTCGAGTCTGTGATCTATCCCGAGGAGATTACTCACTGTGCGGCTGGTGTCAAGTGGTTTGCATTCCTGTGCCAGCGAAGAGCGCAAGGCCGAGAAGGCGAGGTGGACAAGGCTGCCATTGCCAAAGAGTTCCACACCACTGTGAGGAAGCATTTCAGAGGTCCCTTGAAACCACCTTTCAATGAAGCAGCGAGGAAAGCCTCTTGCAAAGAGCGATAAAGCACAAGCCTGACAAGAAAAAAAAAACGATTTTTTTTCAAAAAAAAAAAAGAAGAGAAAAAACAAAACTTACTCAGACTCAGACAAAAGATTCGCCGTGGACGGCAGGATTCGAACCTGCGCGGGCAAAGCCCACATGATTTCTAGTCATGCCCGATAACCACTCCGGCACGTCCACCAAGAACGAAAACAAGCTCCTGGCCAAACAACTTAGCTCCAAATGCATCAACATAGAATTCTTTAAAACCTTACTTATCGTTTGCGGAATCGCGATTGGAGCAGCGTGAGCAGCTCCCTCGTCTCGGCATCCACGGAGAAGCCCATCTCCATCGTCCAGTCCATGAAACGCTTGAGAGAAGCCCCGTGGTTCAAGTAGGCCTTGAGCACCACCCTGTAGACCCGCATGTTGATGAAGTGCTTGAGCACGCTGTTCATCCGGAAGATCCTGTCGATCACCGCCACCTCCCCGCGGCTTGCGAAATGATCCAGCAGATCGAGCACCACCCTCTCCCACGCGGAGCAAATGCAGCGATCCCTTAGCACCGTGCACCCCATGCTGAAAACCTGGAGCGCCTTCTTCACCTCTCCCTCACGCAGGTAGCCCGCGATGAGATACTTGTAAACGACGAGCCTGTGCTTCATCCTCTTCCGCGGGAGCTTCTGGAAGAGCTCCCGGGCCTTGTCCGCGTAGCCGTAGTGCGCGTAGACGCTGAGCATGGCGATGACTTGGTTCGTCTCCAGGAGCCCGTCCACTTTGGCGAAGATCTCCTCCGCCTTGTGGACTCCCTCGGCTTTCCCAAACGCGGCGATGGCGTAGCTGTAGCTGTCCACGGCCTTGAGAGGCCGGCTGCTCAGGATGCTCCAGATGCTCTCCACTCCCTCCTTGTCTTTGGTGTCTCCATACAGCCGCAGCAGCTTGTTGTAAGTCGCCTGCTTCCTCCGGAACAAGCCCGAGTCGAGTCCCTCCTCGAGCTCCACCAGAGCTTTCCCGGCCTTGTCGAAGCACCCGACCGAGATGTATCCGCAAGCGAGGATGAGCAGCGTCGACTCATCGGGCCTCGCGTTTGGATCCTCCTGGAGCATCTGGTACACCTCCTCCAAGCCGCTGGCGTTCTTCTCCTTGCAGTGGAAGCCGAGGTACAAGTTGTACGAGCTCACGTCCGGTGCCACTCCCAGTGACTTTGCCTCCTCGAAGAGATCCGGTATCCGCTTCCTCAAGTCCGGCTGCAAGGAGAACAGCATCATCTGGTTGAGCGCCGACGCCTCGGTATACCACGACCTGTGCTTGAGCTCCTTGAAAAGTCTCTCCATCACCACCCGGTTCTCTCGCTGGGGCGAACTTCCGGCCATGAGGACGAGCAGCGCCTTCTTGCGCTTGTAAACCCGGGGGAGATTGGCAAACATGTTCTCAGCTGCTCGATCGCACCCGGCCAGCGCCGCGAAAGCGATCTGGAACATGTAGTCGAGCTCTCCCAGCTCGAACTTCTCCGAACGGATCATGTAGTTGGCGACTTTCCAGCCGGGCTTGTATTTCTCGTTCCGGAGGAGCTTGAACAAGACGCCCCTCATCATCGCCTTGGTCATGTCGAGCTCGTTCTCTCGAAAGACTCTCACCACATTGCGAGAGGCGTCCACGCCTTTGATCAGCTTCTTCACCTTCTTCCACAGCGGCTCCGCGATCTGGCAGTACTCCTCCACTTCCTTCTCGCCATCGCCAAGCAAGGCCTCTATGCGGGACTGATCCTTGAGCTCTTGGTTGAGAAGCTTGATGTGCTCCACCCCGAGATGGTCCGCTTGATCTGGAAGCATAGACTGATACTCTGGAAAGTATTCTCGCGTCTCCTCGATCGTGAGATAGCTCCTGGAGCAGCAATGCAGAATGCTTCTTCCATTGCGCTCCAGTGTGAATCTGGGTGCCGCATTCCTTCGCCTGCACAGGATCCATGCCTGAAATCCTCATTGTGATCTCTACTCCGGCGAAGCGCTAGATCTTACCTCGCGCAAGCTCCACATTCACGCGCGCAAGAACCCTAAACCCTTATGCCCTAAATTTCTCTTTTTTCTTCTCGAGGAGGAATGCCATGGCGATCCTGTCGCCCAGCGCTCCCGGCTGCTGCTGCTACAGCAGAAGAGTGAGATTTTCTGGGGATGGACGACGACGAATGTGCATCGGCGCCGTGAAGCTGGCCGAGCGCGCGAGATTCTGGACGGGATCTGGCTGTGCATTTCGCAGCGGTGAGATTTTACTGTTTGCCTCTCAGAAAAGGAAGAATCGAGTGAAGAGATGCAGCTCCAGCGGCATGCATTTTGCGACCATGGCTGTGGATTACTACGAAACGCTGGGAGTTCCAAGAACAGCCACCGTTCTGGAAGTAAAACATGCATACCGAAAGCTCGCGAAGAAGGTTTTGCTCACATTTTCTGGCTCTAGTTTTCATCTGAGATTTCTAGCCTTTTGTTGGCAGTACCATCCAGACAAAGCTCCCGGGAACGAGGAGAAGTTCAAGGCAATCAGTGCAGCTTACGAGGTCTTATTTTTTCCTCTCACACTGGCTCGAGACTTTGAAGCCTGGATTTACCGCAGGTGCTTTCGGACCCGGAGAAGAAAGAATACTACGATAAGTATGGCGATGCCGATTTTCAAAACGGTGTGCCTCCTGTAAGTATGATCCTTCTCGTCTCTAGATTTGATGGTTTATATTTTTTTGGTACAGACGAATCCTTTCGATATCTTCCAGTCTGTATTTGGAGAAATGGCTGGAATGAGACCCGAGAACTTCCAGGGCGCGGATCTTGGGTATAATCTCTGATTGATGTATACGCTGCTCTGATTCTGTGAAGCCAGGTACGAGCTGCATTTGGAGTTTACGGAGGGAATTTTTGGAGCAGAAAAGAAGATCGAAGTTTCACATTTAGAAACATGCAACAATTGTGATGGCTCTGGGGCGTACTTAGGAAAGGTGAAGCCATGTAAGGCTTGCCGTGGCAGCGGACAAACATTTGAAACACAGCAAGCAAGCTACGTTACATTTTCCAAGGTTTCAGTTTGTACAGATTGTGATGGCCGGGGCGAAGTCATTCTCGACTACTGTAGAACTTGCGGAGGCGAAGGCGTAGTTTTAACCAAGAAAAACATTGACGTGAAGGTGCCAGCCGGTGTGAAAAATGGCAACACACTACGAGTGCCTCATGAAGGACATGCAGGGCCGAGGAGGTACGATCTTCAAAATCTACTTCAAAACACATTGTTTTTTTTATAGGACCCCGCCTGGAGATCTCTACATCTCTTTGAAAGTAAAAGATTATCCTGGCATCAAGAGGGAGGGGAATAACCTCCTTTCTACCATCTCGGTTAGTTATGTGGATGCTATCCTTGGGACATTAGTGGAGGTAACACTCTTTTTTGTTGGCTGGATTGCGTGGCTTACGTCCAAGTTTTTGTAGGTGAATACACTGGGTGGTAAAGCTGTTATACGAATCCCTCCAGGTACTCAACCCGGTGACACGGTGGTGCTTCCAAATCAAGGTGTTCCAAGGCTAGGTTCACCGCGTACTCGGGGTAGCCACATTTTTACAATTCAAGTAAAAATTCCCAGGTCCTTGAGGTGCGTGAAACAGCTGCACTGGATTTGTCGTTCAATATTTTTTTTGTTGCAGCTCTGAGGAAATTCAGCTGGTAGAACGACTGGCTCATTTGCAAAGGTTGAAGAGCGATTGGAAAACAAAGAACACTTTCAGTGGGAGAAAATCGACTCAAGGTAAAGTAATTTTGTGGTTTCTTACAATGCTTGAGCACTTTATCAACAGGAAATGGGGAAACTGGATTTTGGCAAGCCTTCAAAAACGCAATCGGGTATGGTTTGTTTCTGAACTTGTTTTGGTTAATAAATTCTTTATTTGAGCAGGGTTGGGGGGTCTCGTCCTCGGAGCAAGTTCGGCACTATGTCTCTACAACTGTCACAAAAGACTTGTCCTCAGTTTGGTTTTATTTCTTCTGCTGGAGCTTCTACCGTAGTACTCTTGGCTGCAGTGCTCTGGACACTCTGCCGACCTCGAGATTGCCAAAAGAGGTGAAGCACCGGTAAAGAGAACTCATATTTTATTCGGCTTTCGTTCAGAGGTAATAAATTTTGTTTGAAGATCTTACACAGCAGAGTTGATGGCTTTCCAGGCATCAGCCCAGGTCTCCATGACAGCAGCTACTCTTTCAAAGCTCGGATCGAGACCTCTCAGCTTACCTTTAACCATTCGAGCAATCTCCGCGTAGCAATCCTCCGCGTTAGTAGCATTCTTGGAAAGCCGAAGAGTTTGGAAGAAAGGCACGACGTCTTCCAGCAGGAGCAGCGGTTTAAACTCTGTCTTCAAGCTTGCAAGAGCCCCAGCAGTAGCGCCATTGGAAGAAAAAGAACTATCAGGTCCTCTCCAAACGTATGGAACTCCAGTCTTGACGCCAAAGCCGAGATGGTCCGCTACAACTTTAGCACACAGGCCAGCCCAGACATCATCGACACTCGTGGAGCTGCTAGAGCCCGAGAACAGCGAATCCTGGCCGCCGATGCCTAGACGAAGAAGCATGCATGGTCCTATCAGCCGTCGATCAAACGCTACGTTGGATCCGCTGAGAGGGAAGAGTGAGCCTTTGGGGATGGTGACGACGGCGTCCACGTAGCGCTGCGTGCGCTCGTGTGGCTTGACAATGGCCGTGGGAGCGTCATAGTCGGGCAAGCCGAGCGACAAGCCGTGCGACATGACGGTGGTGACGCCGAGACGCAGGCTAAACGGGTAGCCGCGGACAAAGCCGACCGAGTCCGCGCGGTGTGGATCATACAGGGTGTTGAAGTAGTACGGCGTGGCCTTGGAGCGTAGATTGGCCAGGTGCTGCTCGACAGCGTCCAGGAGCTCTCCGGAGCCGAGATCTTTGGCCGGGACAACGTCCTCGAGGAAGGAGACGACGTAGCGGGCTTTGGAGACGAGAAAGCCGAAGGATCGACAGGCGCTTCCAGCGAAAGGATTGAGGAGGAGGGAGCTGAGCGTGATGGAGTGGCGCTTGCTGCTCTTGGCGGCCAAGGCCTCCAGGAACTTCTCGGCGTCCCGCTTGGTGACGACCTCGGAGTTAAGTTCGTGGAAGAGGAGGAGGTTTTGCAGAACTTTTTGCTGCTCGTCTTGCTCCTCCTCGTCCATGGCGTCGTCCGTCTCCAAAACTACGATGAGGTGGTGGTGCTGGAGGACGGGCTTCCAGGCCGAGAAGAGAGACTGGAAGTTTGATCGAGAACTCACCGTCATTACCACGTCCAAGTCCCGGCCCGCGTCCGCGTTCATCGCTGCGTGTGGATCCATGCTTGGAAAGCTCTTGAAGTTTTAATCAGCGAGTGGCATTTCCAATGCTTTTCCCTTGTTTTGTAGCAATGCCAACTTTCAAGAGGATCATTGTGAAGTCCACCTCGCAAACGACTAGTTATAATTTCTGGACGATATGCTTCATGGTCTCACAGATTTCTCGAGCAACTTGCACATCTTTGGTACTATCTATCAATTCCCTTTGCCTAGCCATCCATCCTGTGAGTTTTTCAATCTCCTTGCGAGCGGTGGCTTTGATGTCGTCTATTGTCTCTCGATGTGCTTCGATCTGTCCAGAAAGAAAAAGAAAAAGCTCGTGAGTTTCATGGCGCACCTGCTCTTTAAGAGAATGCAAAGCATCCATCTTATTTAGATCACAGTGTTAAGTGCCAGAGAAAGAGCTTTGCAAACGAGAAATATTACCTGAGTTTGAGCTGTGTTGCGGTGGTGACTAATACCATCCTATAGAATTGACAATAGGTTCGCCGACAATGAATAAGTAGACAATAGTCAAATAGCTCACCTTGATGTTCATGAGGATCTCCACGATCGAATCGCGAGCGGCAAAAGCATTTCCATCCATCTGAGAGGATCATGTCAAAACTGAGCGCTATAAGAGATTATAGCTTGTTACCTCGTCATCTTCGGCTTCTGAAATGGAGTTTCGCCGATCATCCTCGTGCTCATCCTGTTGATCATGAGGACGATTCGGAAACACAACGAAGAAATCATTTGCGACACCTTACCTCATGCTCGTCTTCTTCGGAAGAGTTATACTCGTTCACATCCTCGTCTTCTTCGTTGTAGCTCTCCACTTCCGCCTTAAGAGCCTCGAGCCTCGCGATTCGAGCCTGGTGCGATGGCCGGCCTCCAGCTTGTGGCCGATACGTTTCCTACAATGCGGGAGCTCATATAAACTCGCAAAGCAAAGCGTACAAAGAAGAACGAAATCTAGCTAGAACTTCCGACTCACCAAAGGATGCTCCTCCCTCATGGCGTTCATCTTCCGTACGAGAAGCTTGTCCACCCTCCGGATCCAGTGCTCGCGCGAGAAGTTGCCGCTGGGATCCCACACCCGGATGTAGTCCTTTTTCAAGTTCGCTCGCGCGTTCTGGAGCTGGGTCTTCCACTTGAAGCGCAGCGAGTCCTTGACCTCGTTGTAGCGCTGCTTCTTGAGCGCGTAGTACGTGCCGTGCGGGACGCCCTTGCGGGATTTGAAGCCCTTGGGCAGCTGCGACACGGGCGGGAGCTTGTGCCTCTCACACCGGTGCTCGTTAAACGAGCGCAGATTTCCATACCTCCGGTTGCATTTCCCCGCGCAGCACTCGAACTTCCTCTCCGCTCTGCGCCACGTCTCGCCGCCATCGTCAGAGACCTCTACTTGTTCTTGACAACGAGCGAAAGTTAGATCGAAACAAGCCCCAAGACTCGCAATTTACCATGGCTGCAAACCCTGCGCCTCTTTCTCCCCCATTGCTCGTCAGCTCTTCCTCTTTGCGGTCGTCCCTCTAGAGCCATTGTGCAACCTATTGTCTAAACCCTAATTTCCATTAATTTTTCTTTCACCGACCCGTGTTAAAAATGGACTTTTACTTTGACGTTAAACCCTTCGTCGTCGATAGTGGCCTTGACCCCGCCACGGTAACAACAAAGAGACAAAGCACTGGGATCGTGTCAAGACAAACCAACCGTACGATTTGATTCGTCACTCAACCCCCAGTGGAATGTCCACCCTGAGTATATTAAAACAAAGAAAAGGTGGTGGCCCTTCTAAAGAAGCTTAGACCTTCGTCCCGGTTGGCCAGGAAGGGATATGTGTGTTTATGCAAACCCCACCAGCAACAACAAGGCACCACCGCCACCTTTTTCCGTCAACCATCGTCCCATCTTTTCTTTAAATAATACCTTTAATATGTTTTTTCTTTTGTTTGTTGGGGTAGCATTGGCCACCAACCGGCTTTGCAACTAGCGTACCTCGCCAAAGAAAAAGAAGAGTCGTGGGGGTTAACTAAGCACCTCTTCTTAATTGGAATGCCAATGCGCTAAATTCTCGCCCTATAAATTGTAAGTTCTTGGTGGGAGAGAGAGAGAGAGAGGAGAGAGAGGGCCGGCGCGAGGAGCTTCCTGGCTATGGCGGCTGCTGTCGTCTTCGTCCCCGGTGGCGCTCCATCTGGTGATGATCGGCGCGCCAAGGCGGAACCGTGTAAGTGATCGATCTTGTCGCGCTCTTCTTTCTCCCGGAGGGAGGGGAGAGGTTTCTAGGTTGCGCCGGCGCGACGAGGCTTTGATCTCGCCGACATACCCGGGGCTGGGAGCAAGAAATCCGCGCCTCCCAGCCGGAAGATGCCAGGAATGATCAAGGCGGAGAGCGCATCACCGTCGGAGGCCTCGATTTCTCACTCTCTGCTGTCACTGCAATCCTCCTCTCCGCCCGCCGCCACCGCCACCGCCACTGCCACCGCCACCGCGCCGCCACCGCCGCCATCGTCGGAGGAGCGCGGCCTCCGCCTCATCCACCTCCTCTACCTCTGCGCCAATGCGGTGGCCAGCAACGATCTCCAGCACGCCAATCTCTTCATGGAGCAGCTATCGGGCCTGGCGTCGCTCACCGGCGATCCAATGCAGCGCGTGGCAACCTATTTCCTCGAGGGGCTGGCTGCGCGGGTCACCAAGTCCTGGCCCGGCCTCTACAAGGCGCTCTACTCCACCCGGCTCTCCTCGGACTCGGACATAGCGGCGGCCCGGCACATCCTCTTCTCGGTCTCGCCGTACCTCAAGTTCGGCTACCTCACGGCAAACCAGGCCATCCTGGACGCGATGCAAGGCGAGAAGGTGGTACACGTCGTGGACTTGGAGGTGGGCGGTGGCAATAGTGTTCTCCAGTGGCTGGCGCTCTTACAGGCATTTAGTAGCCGTCCGGAGGGTCCTCCACACTTGCGGATCACTGCGGTGAACGAGAAGCGCGAGGTGCTGGCGCTCATGGGCCAGAAGCTCGCCGAGAGCGCGGAGCGGCTGGACATCCCTTTCCAGTTCCACCCGGTGGCGGTGACCCCGGCGGCGCTCGAGCGCGACATGCTGGGCGTCAAGAGCGGCGAGGCAGTGGCTGTGACGTCGCTCATGCAGCTCCATTCGCTCCTGGCCGACGAGAAGGAGGATGGCAAAGTCCGGGGTGGTGATGGTGGCGGTACTGCAAGTTTTGGCCTGGCGCTCAGGGAGAGGAGCAAGAGCGAGCCGGGGTTTGTGAGCTGTAAGATGGAGGAGCTCAAGGAGAGCAAGAGCGGGTGCAAGCGGAGCCGGGATGCGCTGGGAACAGGTTTCAATGGCATCGAGATGAATGGTCACGACGACTCGGGGCTAGAGCTGGGAATCGGGGTGTTTCCAGTGGCTCCCAAGGAAGCAAAGGCGGGAACGAGCAGCACAATCAGCCGTGTGTTGCAGCTCCTCCACAGCTTGAGTCCCAAGATCATGGTGGTGGTTGAACAGGAGTCGAATCACAATGGTGCTCTACACGAGAGGTTTGCTCCGGCGCTGCATTACTACTCGGCAATCTTCGATTCCCTGGACTCGACGCTCCCGCAGCACAGCAGCGAGAGGATCACCGTGGAGAGGCTCATCTTCGGGCAGGAGATCAGGAACATCGTGGCTTGCGAGGGCCTGGAACGGATGGAAAGGCACGAAACACTATCGAGCTGGAAGAGGCGATTCGAGCAAGCACACTTCTCGTCGTCTCACCTGAGCCCGACAACCGCCGTGCAAGCGGAGCGACTGCTGACAATACATTCGCCTGACGGATACAAGCTACACCGCGAAAAAGGTTCTTTAATTCTTTGCTGGCAAGACACTCCAATGCTTTCGGTGTCTGCTTGGAAAGCTTGACTTCCTAATGCTTGCTCTTCTCTCTTTCTCGTTTTCTTTTCTTTTTTCTTTTTTTTTCTGGAATTTTTGTTCGTCTTCTTGATTCCCTGGCTGGCTATTGAGTGTCGTTACTCACATGGCATTGCAGCATTCCATTCCAGCGCTTGTTTGCCTGCGTTTGATTCTACCTCCTAGGTAGTTTGTACATTAACAAGACGATGCATTTCAGCTAGCTGGCTGTTGTGCAAGACAGGAAAAAAACGAAAAAACAAAGAACGCATACTGAGTGCAATGATGGATCTCATCAGGGTGGGAGTGAGCTTGTTTTGTTCCGTAAACAAATCTCACTCCCCTTGCTTATGTATGTACAGACAGGTCTAGTTGTATTGTAATCCAAAGCAACCTTTTGTTTTTGTTCCAGAGTATCGTTATCTCGTGTTCTTTTGGAGTGGTAGTGCTGAGCGCAAGATCTTTTTGTTCGCGCGATTGATTCCCTGACGAAGATAAGTAAGACACTCCACTCAAACCTCTCGAGAATGCGTCGAATCTGCTTTTGCTTTTTAACACCATTTTCCGATATCAGGCCAAAGCTAGGCGACAAGGAGCAGTGTCATCTAGCACTAAGACGTGTGCCGCAGAGAGACAAATGCGCTATATACCCGAGTCCACTTCCCAACGAGGTACCATGCGTACAGCTTATTAGTGAGCTTTTGTCATGAAGCTCACTGGCCTCTTGTGCAGGACCTCATCTCCCTCCATCCTTCCTCTTTTGTTGAAGGGGAGTTGTCTGAAGCGATTACCCTGACTTGATGGATTTGGATGGACAACGGAGGAGAGTGATGCGTGATGTGCGTCCCGAGGGAAACCAATCACGTAAGTGAGTCTTGGAGGTGCTCTCGTCTTTATGCAATTAGGTGGAGACAAAGTGACACCACTGCAAATTCAGTTGACTTGCTTAGTAGAATACTGAAACAAGGCTTTTTCGCTTTTGTCTATTCAGGCTTGAAGTGAAAGCAATAAGAAAGTGTCTTGGCGTCGGCAAAGGTAGCAAGTTCTCCGTTCTGGCGCTGATTTTGCTCTGCTAATTGTTACCGCTCTCGGCTCACTGCGTGACCAGCTGCAGGAAGATTTGTCAAACGAGCGCAGAGAGGTTATTGGACGATGACTTATCAACAGAAGTGAACACAAGCAGACACGTATTATTTGCATCGCTTTTGCAGAAGTTTGGCCCTTTGGGCACTAACTGCACGTCAGTTAGGACCCCTGGCAGGATCGGGCAGCAGCAACAGGCAGCCGATGGATGCATGCAGCCAGAAGCCAGCAGGCAGCGCAGCGGTAGCAGCCTTGTGGCCTCATGATATATGTTGCCACTTCAATTATCAAACTGAAAGCAGCAACCGACCAAGCTCGTAGCAGAAAGCAGCAGAGAGGTTGCAGGATCCGTCCGAAAGCAGTGAAACTGATGGGTGGATAATGCGGGAAGAACGAGACGACTTTTTTGACGAAGGCGGATTCTGCTTTGCCATTTTGGTTCACATGCATTCAAGTGCTGCTTGAATTCGAGGCCCTCTCCTGGCTGGCGACTTTATTGCACTTCGTCGGCTCCGGGAGAGTTCCTTGTAAATTTAAGAACAACACCGACACATACCCAGGGGTTATTTTACATGCCAGCAGCAGCAACTTTGCTCGAGAAGCGCGGCAGTCACTTTACTTTTAAAGTTACTCAAAGAAACTTTCCATAAACTCAGGATATACATCTCCTGAAGTTGGTGCTGGTGGTGGTGGCGCTCTTCTTGGGAGGTCCAGGCAGCTCTCCTTGAGATTCTCCCAAGTCGAAGTGGCTGCTGGAATATGTAGCGGGCGCTGCTCCGTCTGGCTGTGCTTGACGTTGCCATGGTTGCTTTCGCCGCCATTATTAGTGACAAGCATGGCTGAAGAGTGATCACCAGCAAGGCAAGCATTAGCATTGTTATTATTCATCGAGTGGTAATTATCCTTGCTCGCAGGCGTGCCGGGACGACTTCGTGGGAAATGCGAGTGCTGCTGTGGAGCAGCAGTAGCAGCGGCACTAGCAGTGGTAGCAGGAGCTTCTGAGGTTAAAGGCTTCGGTGCGCCAGATTGACTGCCAGGGATGGTGGTACCACTACCGTACTGCTGCTGCTGCTGCTGAGACTGTTCTGCTGCCAGTTTGGAAAGGCGGACAGAAAGTGGAGAGCTGCAAGCGCTGCTGTTGCCTCTAGCGGCTCTCTCCAGTGCGTCCTGAAGAGCGGCTTGGATCACGCTGCTGCTGCTACTGCCATTTCCAGTCTTTTGAAGTTTGTTACTACCGCCTGGACTGATCATGGGACTTACCATTGGAGAGTTGTGCGAGGCGGATGATATAACCGGGGGGATCTGAACCATGAGACTCGTATCGTGCTCGTGACGTGGCGCATGGAAGGCAAAGCTGTTATTGCTGCTACCGGTTTGGAGGAGTTCCTGAAAGCTGGGGGACGGACTGTTTGTGGTGGCGACCGTGGTGGCAACCTTAGTGTTCTGGTACTGCATTCTTCTGGCCAGAAGGTTACCTCTCGGAGATGTTGCTACGTCGCCACCTGTCGAACCAGCGGGTCTCTTCATTCCTGCGAATGCCTGACCGGTTCCTGCTGCTACGACGGTATCTCCGTCCTGGTCGACAACAGTACCATTTCGAAAGTCGAAAGTGCTGGTGCCGTTTTGGAGTGACAACCTCAGGGAAGCTATGCTGGGATCGTCACTTGCAGCAGGCTGAATCACTGGATCGCATGCGACGCCAAGTCTGAGCCGGAAGTCAGACGAAGCAGCAGGCGTGTGAAAGAAGGCGGCTTGATTGTTCTGCCATCCGGGAGAAGGAAGAACCGACGCTGGTGCTGCTGCTCCAGTCGGGGACCCGCAGAAGAACCGGTTCCTCATGGGAGCAAACGTCTGGGAGAGAAATCCTCCTCCGGCCTGGTTCTCCAGCGACTCAAATGTGTATCTCATCCGTAGCACGAAGTGGAGGTCCTCGGCAACCTGTGGCTCATGGTACGTGAAAACTCAAGTTTTTAAAATGCCGTGCAATGGAGAGCTGAGATACTCACGATCTTGCAGGATCCTAGTTGGAGAAGTCCGTGCCCAGCTTGAATCACAGCTATGGTCTGCGAGATGGTATACAAGGTTCTTAGAGCCCGTGAAGAAAGAGAATTCCGGATAGCTACCTGAATGCCAGCCGAGAATTGGTCCATCCATTCGGGTGGATGCTGCGAAGGGGGAGGAGCTTACAATAAAACCCGAGAAGAAACGTTTGAAGAGGAGGATTTTACCGAATCGAAGGAGCTTTGCCAGTAGTTGAGCGGGCCGACCTCCGTCTCGGAAGACTCCCGGAACACCCACTTGTGGCATTTGTCTGAGGCAACTTTTCCCATCAATCTGTGCAACAAGATGAGTCCTCACAGCTGGAAGGCGGAGTCTTTTCAAGTACGCACCCTTCTCCATAGTTGTAGAGCTGGATTGACATCTTTCTGAACGCTTTCCTTACAGGGTCCTCCTCCTCCACATCGTCTCCCAGATTGAAGCCGCTGTGAACCCGGTGAATGCTGCCGGCGAGTGGTGGAGTGGTGGTGGTGGTCACCTCGTTCTTGTTGTCAGCGGCTGCGTCGCCGGAGCAGCAGCCTGCTGGACGGCAGTATCCGTCCTCCCACATGAGCATCCTGGAAGACACGAGAAGAGACACGAAGAAAGACCGTAAGGCTTGCAAAGTTCGTTCTTTTCTCTTTTGGTGAGGCTGATATGTGGAAGTGGAACTTACAGGCTCCCTTCGTCCCCGGCTTTGCATCCAAGTCCGCCTCGCAACCTCCTGGAGATGAAAGCCAGATGAATCAGAGCAAGCAACGTAGCAATGCAGTGAAACAACGAGGAGAAGAGAGAGAGCGAGAGAGAGAGTGAGAGAGAGAAGGGGGCTTAAGGTGAGCTGCTTCTTACGGTCGGGGACGGATGGTCCAGAAGACAGAGTAAGTCCAATCTGAGCTGATACACACATTCCGCAGCGCTTCGTGCAGCGCCATGACTGCCATCACTTCCCGGCTCCTCTCCACGACACCCATCGTTAAGTGTATCTCTTCCTTTCCTTCAACTAAAAACTAACGCAGCGCCCTCTTTTCCAGACTCGCACCATGGAGCGCCGAAGAATCTCATAGATTTTCCTGCACGGTAAACTCTCTTCCCGTCCCTCTTTCATCGTGCCGCATTGTGTGTTGCGGGGATTTCAGAGGGAGGGAGAGAGAGCGAGAGATCAGCCATATTTTATGTGTGAGAGTGTTGTGTTCATTGTTGATTCACACACACATCTTTCCCCTTTTACTTCCTAGAGTAGCGAGCGCCCTTCTTCTTCTTCCTCCTCTTGTTTCTCCTTCCACAAAAACAAGTCCGCCTGGTTTCGCTGTTGGATGATCATTGGTATGCTTGTTTTCTAGTCAATTGAGCTGCTGGCTGGCGCGCTGGCCGACTGCTGCGCACATAGTTACAAAGCGGTATTCTTTCATTTCTTTTTGATTCTCCTTGCTTTTTCTTTTTAACTGAACCTTGCTGTGATCTTGATCTATTCTATATAGGCACTAAAGCGGGCTAGGAGACTAGCAAAGTGCCACACGCACGTCCCTCTCAGCGCTCTCAATGGCTGGAAATGGCGGCTACGTTGCCAACCAACAATGGCAAGTAAGTTCTCTTCCTTCTCCCTTTCGTTCTTAGCAGTGGGGCTGAACTTCTAAACCTACATTACAGGGGACGCATGCACACGTTCAATCGGTTTTTCTTACTATAAAAGCTGTGGAGCAAACAGTTTGCCGGTATAAATGTTGGATGGGTGGATGCATGGATGAATTGATTGATTTGAGTTTGATGTGGTGTTCCTCGCTTGCTGCTTACAATGGCTTGGCTCGAGCATGGTCCGTTCATCCAGTTTCCATCCAATCAATCAAATCAAGGTACCCCTCTGCAAGAACGTTATGGGGGTAGAGGACTATCTAGACAAGCATGAAAAAGAATGGGTTTCTCAGATAATCTATGTGCGATGTTCTGTGGTCGATTCGTCCGGGATGAGAGGTACACACAAGCACGCGGGCTTCGGATGGATCTCTCTGCTTTGGGGAGGAAGAACATGAGAGTTGTATACATATGTATGGGATTGAATGAATGCCCTTACGCTCTCTGGATCGGTGCCGTGCAGCAGGGTCTAGCAGCTCAGCAAATGTTACACCACCAACAACAGAAAACAAAAGCAAAAAAAATAAGGAAAAAATCGTGAGTCGTATGCGACTGAAAAGAGGAACACGCGCGCAGGAGGGGAGAGAAATCCTCTAGTTTATGCACTGCAGTGCCCGCCGGCCGAGTCTTTCGCTTGAGTAAGTTGGAAGCTCCAAGCACGAGAAACATCGAGGCGAGAGCAAAGCACAAGCAATGGTGGGGCGGGGGGGGAGGAAATCATAAAATATTCACTCCAGGGGACGAGTGAGTGACTGAGAGAGAGAGAGAGAGAGAGAGACAACAAAAAAAAAGAACAAAGAAAAGAATCGCAACGATGGAAGAACACCTCTCGTACGGGCGCGATCAAGAGAAGTTTCTTTATGAAAGCTTCGGCGAATTGCGAGAGTGTTTTGTTCGGATTTCATTATGGTGGAGAGGAGACTCATGATCCAGATCTGAACGCAGCAGCAGCTGCCAGCCGGGCAGAGATGGAGTTTTGCTTTCGTTTTTCTTTGCATTTTTTGTATCTGTGAGTCTGGAGCTCGATTTGGAAGCAAAAAAACTAATTTCTTGACGTCTCGCTTTCATGCGCGTCTCCGTTCCTGGAGCAACGGCGATTTTACAGATCCATCCCATTTTGAGGAACGATTGATCCCCGGGCCAGTGATCAAAAGCAGTAAAAACTAAGCATTTTTCACGTCGATCTTTCACATGGGCTGCTCCTGCAAAAGGAATTGAATAGAAAGCTCAGACAAATTGGAGAAAAGCGAAAAAAGATCAGAAAAGTCCTTGCTCATCTCTGTGATTTTCGCTGTTCATTGATTATACTGCAGCGTACCTTGAGAATCTGGCAACAGTAGTTTGATGATTCGGTCTCGCTCCATCAGTCAGAATGTAGACAACTCGTGAAGTCCCTCTCATCAGTCGCCAGGAATCCAAAGAAAAGATACAACGAGTAAAACACTAAAGAAAAGCTTAGAACAGCAAAGACGAAGGAAGAAGAAGATGAAAATTATGGATGGAGTACTTACGCTTTTATTTTCACTCTCCTCCAAGCTGTGCGCGCTGCTGCCACGATGGAAACATCCAAGTTAGGAGGTATGGTGGAAATCTCCTTTACTTTTTTATACTTTCTGGTCATTCCGTGAACGGTGCGGAAACATTGACAAAACGCAACGCAAACTTTGACTGGGGCGATCCTGTGGACGAAGCATCATTTCTATGGAGGAAAACAAGGAAAGCCCAACCATTTCTCTGGCGAAACAAGACACAGAATGTACAAACTTGCCCAGCACGAAGTTCACGGGGTTGATTGAATCGCCCTTTCGACATCCAGCCAGCGATCCCTGTTGCTTCTTCTATTCCTGTGACACGGACCAACGAGGAACATTAAGTCCAGAGAAGAAAAGCTTTTCTTTCTTTTTTTTCTTGGCATGTGTACCGTGCTTGAGCGGGATATCTTACAAAAAGTATGAGATCCAGAAAACCAACTTTTTTGGTTATGAAAGCTGGAAGATATAGATGTCTTGTGCGATCCGGAAAAACCAAAAAGAAAATGTGATTGCTTGGAAATCTTTGATCAGTGATGATCCTGCAAGCATCAGCGCTCACCCAGCTGCTCAAATCCACCACCACTTTGCAGGAGCTGCGATCCCTCCACCGCAAAATCGGTGCCGAGCTCTCCACTGACAGGTTTGTGAATCACGTCCTCATCGACATGTATGGCAAACTCGGCAGCCTCGACGACGCCGAGTCCGTCTTCCAAGCCATCCCCTCTCGAAACATCTACTCGTGGAACTTCCTCCTCCTGGCATATACCCACAACGGGCATCTCCACAAGGCAAAGGTGGCGCTAGAGGCAATGCCACACAGGAACGCAGTGTCGTGGACCACGGCCATGGCATTCTTCTCTTCCTCCGGAAGCCACCACCTTTCCAAGCTCGTTTTCGACGACATCCCAGAGCGAGACCTCGTCTCGTGGAACGTTTTCCTCAACGGGTATGCCGCCGGCGGGCATACGCAGGGATCGCTCGATACGTTCCACCGGATGCCTCAGTGGAGCGTCGTGTCATGGACGACGCTGGTCACGTCCTTCTTGCAGAATCCAAGCTCCCACACCGAAGCAAGATCGCTGTTTGATCAAGCTCCAGAGAGAAACTCTGTGCTGTGGAATGCGGTGGTGGGAACGTATGCCCACTCGGGGCATATCGTCGAAGCCAAGGCGCTCTTCGATCGAATGCCGCTGCACGATCTTGTCTCGTGGAACTCGCTGCTGGTGGGATACAAGGAAGAGGACGATCGCGAGCGAGCAGTGGACTTGTTTCGATCCATGCCGGAGAGGAACGTCATGTCCTGGAACACGATGATCGCGCTAGATCCACTCCAGGGGAAGGAGTTTTTCGCGAGGATGGCGATGTGGAGCCTGGCGTCGTGCTCGGCGATCCTCCAAGCATACGCCGCGCATGGAGAGATGCGCGAGGCCAGGGACTTCTTCGATGCGATGCCGCAGAGAGACGCCCTGGCGTGGACGTGCTTGATCTCTGGCTATGCCTGGCTGGGGCATAGCACCGCCGCAAAGAACACGCTGGATCGAATGCCCGCCTGGGACGTCGTCTCGTGCACGGCGATGATCCACGGGCACGTCCTCGCGCTGGATCACGCCGCGGCTAAAGAGATCTTCGATTCCATGCCCGAGAGGAACGCGCTCAGCTGGAACACGCTGCTCCAATCCGCCGCGCAGCACTCCAGCTCCTCCTGTCGATCAATCGCCGGGCGGATGCCCTGCCACAACGCAGTGTCGTGGAGCATCCAGCTCGCGTCACTCGCCCAGCGCGGCGCGATCGATGCGACGAGGCATGAATTCAATTCCTTGGTAGAGGGCGATCCAGTGTCGTGGACTGTGATGATCCAGGGGTATGCCCAAAGCGGGCATCCACAGGTAGCGCTGGATCTCTTTGGGCGGATGTGCGTCGAGGGGATCGAGGCGACGGACGTGACATTCGTGGCGGTGCTCACGGCGTGCGCGCACGCCGGGATGATCGAGCAGGGCGTGGCCATCGCGTCGCGGGCGGAGATCGATTTTGGGGTCAGGATTGGGATCCAGCACTACCACTGCCTGGTCGATCTTCTGGGAAGAGCGCATCACCTGGATCGCGCGGAGGAGCTCGTGGAGACGATGCCCTTTGTGCCGGATGCGTATAGCTGGACGACGCTGCTGGCGGCGTGCTCGATCCATGGAAGATCTGGCGATAACGCCGCGAGGAGAGCAGTGGCGTGCGATCCGGGCCATGGAGCTCCATACGTCATCCTCTCCAATTGCTACTCGAGCTCACGAGGAGGAGGAAGAACAGCAAGGAAATCAAGACCGTCGTGATCATCATCACGCGAGGATCATCGATGTGGTCCGGCAGCTCAAATCCTGCGGCGCCGCCAGGGATCTGGCTCGCGGCCAGCAGCTCCACACCCGGATCGCCGCCGATGGGCAGCAGCAGCTCCATCGCCACCATTTCGTCGCGAATGCCCTGGTGGAGATGTATGGCAAGTGTGGCAATCTGGGCGATGCCCGGGACGCGTTTGCTTCCATCCGCTGCCCCAACACCTTCTCCTGGAACATCCTCATCGCCGCGCACATAGAGAATGGGGACACTACCTCCGCTGTTGCCATCTTCAACGCCATGCCCGAGAGGAAGAACGCCATCACCTGGACGATGATGCTGCTGTTGTACGCGCGGAGCGGCGATGTCGAGAAATCATGGGCGATCTTCCTCGCCATTGCGGATCGGAACTGCGGCGCTTGGAACGCAATGATCACCGCATATGCCCAGAACGGGCATTCGGAAGAGTCGTCTCGGGTGTGGGCGAAGATGCCCGAGTGGAATGTTGTCTCGACCACCGCTCTTCTTACTGGATACGGCGCAAGCGGGAATGTCGTTCGTGCTTGGGAGATGTTTGTAAAGATGCCCGGCCGAGATGCTGCTTGCTGGAACGCTATGATCACAGCAAATGCCCAGAATAGGTATGTTGACAATGCAACCATCTTGTTTAACAAGATGCCTCTACACAATGTGGTGACAATCACAATGCTTATCTCTGTTCTCGACGTAGACTCTGCCAAGTCTACATTTGATTCTATGCCGGGGAGGAATTTAATTTCGTGGAACGCTATGCTCACGGCTTATGCCCGCGCCGGGCATGTCCTCGAGGCGTCCAAGATGTTTGAATCGATTCCCGAGCGCGATATTGTGGCCTGGAACTCGATGATTGACGCGTTTTCAGAGAACGGCGAGATAGCAAAAGCGCAGGAGGTCTTTGATCGAATGGCGGCTCGAAATGCCATGTCGTGGACAAGCATCGTGGCGGCATATGCCCGGAAAGGGCATCTGGCGCTGGCTTGGTGCAGATTCGCCGAGATGCCGGTCCGGAACGTTGTGGGGTGGAGCTCGATTATTCAGGCGTCTGCGCACTGCGGACTCTATGATCGTGCGCTTGAGCTGTTCCGTGAGATGGTTCTTGAGGGAGTGAGAGCAAATTCAGTGACCTTTCTGGGAGTTCTCTGTGGGTGTTGCCATGGTGGGAGAATAGCCAAGGCTCGGCAGCATTTTCTCTCAATGATTGGTGACTATGGAGTAGCCCCAATCTACGAGCACTACCGCTGCCTGATTGATGCTCTTGGAAGAGCCAAGCAGCTTGAGCAAGCTGAGGATTTGATGTGGAGTATGCCCTTCTTGCCAGATGTTCATGCCTGGACTAGCTTGCTAAGCGCTTGTAGAGTTCTTGGTGATGTAGAACGAGGAAGTCGCATTGCCAAGAAGATTGTGGAACTCTTTCCTAAAGACCCAGCCTCCTATTTATTAGTTTCTAACATGGTGACCTACAAAACAGATTTATAAAGAAGATGTTTTTTAAAGCATGGGATATCTTTTAAATATATAAAAATGATTTTTTCTGTAAAATAAAATTATAACAATTCTATTTTACAAGCCATTTTTAACATAAATAGTTTTGCCATGAAATATTTAAAAAACTTTAGGTTAATTTCCTAATTTTTATAAATAAAATTAATACCTTCATATAAAATTAAAACATTATCTTCAAAAAAACTATTTAATATTATAAATAGTTTTTTAAACATTAATATACACTTTAATATATTTTAATAAGTTAAATAAATATAAAAAAATTATTATTTATCATATACTGTATTTCTATTTTATAACATTAGGAGTTTTATATTGGAACATATGAAAAGTGTAAATACTTTTTTAATAAAAAAATTTTTTGGGCATGCTATATCTCCCAAGAGAGCTAAAGTCTCTGTTCCTATTCATATATTTAAATGAAAGAGCTGGTATAATAACAGAAATTAGTATATATTACATTTAAATAATAACAAAATAAATAGTATAAATAATTTCATTGAAAATATTTTATATAAATTTTATTTTTTAATTGGCCTTTTTAAATGAATATAAAAACGACATAAATAAGGGTTATTCAATAAATGTAAAAAGAGCATCTCAATGATAAAAGTACTAAATATTTAAGAAATATTTATAAATTTTAAGGGCTACTTATAAATAATTACAATTAAATGATACACTATATTTTTAATTTATGTATTTTTATAGTATTTTTTTCTTTTTGTTTCATTTTGCATGTGAAAAAGATAGACTAAAAATACCTAGAGACTTTCATATAAAAATATATATTATTTATTAATAAATAAGTGTTAATATCAGTTTTATTTTAACTAATATAAAAAACATATATAACCTATACTTCTTCTCAAAGTGTTTTAATCCGTTTTATTTACTAAATTTTTAAAAATGATTTTAAAACTTTCTGGTGTAATCTCAGCACAAATAAAAGTATCATATAAAATCAGCACTATGAAATTTTAGGTGAGCAAGCGCTATTGCTAGCCAAACAACCATAATAATGAGCCAAAGCACATAACTCAAATTGAAGCACTTGTGGCCATGGCCACACCCAATAGCCACACTTGGGCAACACCATGGCCACAGCCATGGCTGATTACACAACTTCCACAATTTCCACTTGGCCACCAAACCTACTGCTGCTAGCTGGCTAAAAAGAGGAGAACAAAGACATGCTACCTCAGTGGTGAATTCCTCGTGTCCAGTATTTCTTCCACAGCTGGATCAAATCGCTGCCCGGCGGGAAAAAATTAGGGTCCTTGGTTGACGCCTCTGCTTCTGGAATCCAAGAGTTTTGGCATTTCTCCAGAGTCATTTTAAGCACTATTTTACTATTTTACTGTAAGGAACTGGGCGCTGGGCGAGAAATACTGTTCGATTTTTTTAATTTTTTTTCACCAGAAGGCCCAGCATTGGATGGGCAATTACTAGTATTCAATAAATCAACTTGTCACAATAACAACTCATGAAAAGCTGCATAAAAACCTTATAATTTAACAAGAAGTACCTCTGAAAATTCGAATTTTAGAGAGAAAATCCTCGCAATATATTCCCCTATAAGTCGCAACACGTCAAGGCTTCTAAGAAAAGCAAAGGAAAAATCAGTTTGACAAGATAAAGATGAGGAGCCCAGCCTTACCTGCACGGGTAGAAAGAGCTTGAACTCGGGAGGGAGCTCCTCTTCCGAGAAGAGCCTCTCGGAGAAGTAAATCCTCCTCAGCCTGCAATTCGCGTGAACTTGCACCCGCAACGTCTCCACGTAGTTCGTTCCATAGGCACGCCTGGTGAAATCCGCGAGATTGAACTGCACTTGGTTCCAGCCCTCGTCCAGGCGCATTGGCATCGTGCATATGAAAGGCTTCACACGCGTGCTCGTCTGCAAGAGAGCTCAAATCTCGAGCGATCTCGTGTGTAGCGTCTAGAGAGAGTACCTGGAAATTCGACGCCCGGAAGCGACGCCTTACGTTCTTGTCGTCGAGGACTTGGACCTCGAAGGTGAAGTATTTCTTGAGGTTCTTGATGATCATCACTAGAAATGGCAGCTTGATGCCCAGCGTCATCGCTGGATCCGAGGGGCAGGAAATGAAATTGGTGCTGACGTTGGTTCCCATGATCTCCAGCACGATGGACTGGATGTCATCGTCCGTGATCCTCTTGATATGTCCATTCGACACTGGAGAGTGGAAAACAAAAATGCAAAGGGAAAGAGTTGAGATCTCCATAGCTCGCGCTCTTGAGAACTTTACCATCTTTCTCCCAAATCTGAAGAGGTTTGCTCCTGCCAGAGAAGATCAAAGCTTTAGAATTTTGGTTCTGAGCTGGAGAGCTTACCCGATGCTGTAGAAGATTGACAAGAAGCCCGACTGGAAGGTGTTCCTAAACATCTTCCCTACAGGTGACCCTCCCTCCGCACGAGAATTTGATTGTACTCCGGGCGAGAAGTCTATACGAGCCAACGAGAATTTAGTTGAGCTGCCCGCTCGATCAATCAACCCTAAATTTCCTGAGCTCCCTACCAGATCCTTGACGAGCAGGAAAACGATGACGAAGAAGAGCACGAACAGGATCTCAAACTCGGCCAGCCGCACGAACGCGAAGATCGAGCTCACTGCCCTAGTGAGCAGCGATGGAGACGCTCCAGCCTGATGGCGCATTGAACTGAAGAACCGGCGGCGATCCACTCGCGCTCGCAGCTCCCGCGGAGCCCTAGCAAATTCCTTCCAATGGTCGCGAACCTCAAGCGCAAAGATCACTACAGCCAAATGCGAGAAAGAAAGCCCCCCGTCTCCAGCGCCATGTCATTACGCCACCAGTGACGTGGAAAACCATCTCCAAATTACGTGGCTTTTGTGACGTGGCACCGTACTGGTAGGCCAGCCGTACGGTGACGGTTTGGGAAGCCGACGGTTGCGATCGGCCGAGAGGATCGCCGTCCCTTCCTTTCCCGCCCCTACTTTGACACAAAACCCTTACTTTGGGGCGGAGGGGCGTTTTCTTGCGCGCTCTAGCTCGATCTTATAGGTCTTTCCATCTCCTCTGGAGGATCATCGATCGATCTCACCGGTTTTGGTATTTGCAGGATGTCTTACCAGCGGATGCATTCGGATCTATCCGGCGACAAGGCGCCAATAGCTTCGATGCGCAGGATCCAGTCCGATATCTCCTCCGCGCAACCAGAGGTACATTCATGGGGTATTGGACAGGCGCCGCCGCAGCAACAGGCCCACCAGCAGCAGCAAATGCTGCCTAGCCAGATACAAATCCAACCTAGTCAGCAGCAGCAGCAGCAGCAGCAGCCACCGGCGATGGATCAGAAGGTCACGACGGTGGCGGGCGGGACGGCTCCAGTCCCGAGTTTGCTCCACAGGGAGCGATCCGTTCATCAGATTCTTGGAGGCGGCAAATGTAAGTTCCTGCTATTTTGTCTTGTGGGTCTATCTGGTTTTTCTAGAGAGCTACACATAGATGTTCTTCATGTTGTGTTGGACAGAGAGCTTAAAAGAAGTCGAGAGTTGCAAGTGTGATCGAAAGCTCGACCTTTGCGCAAAGTCGTCGAGCGTTTATATGCTTTTATTTCGTTTCATGGTAGTCATTCTCACGTTTTTTTCACTCTTTTTGTTTTGGCAGTCGCTGACGTAGTGCTCTGGAAGCAGAAGCGCAAGTCCATTGGTATTCTGGGAGGCTCCACCTTGGTGTGGTTCATCTTTGAGTGGTCTGGCTACACGCTCATCTCGCTCGTCGCCAACATCGTTCTTTTCCTTTTGATCGCGCTCTTTGCGTGGGCGAATCTAGCTGCGCTCGTCAACAGGTATTCTTTGTGCTTAGCTTTATAACTCGAGGGGAATCAATCGTGTTCGTTTTTCTTGTTGTGGATTCCAGGCCTCTTCCTCCTGTTCCCGAGGTCCAGCTCTCAGACGAGAAATCTAACAAGATTGCCAAGCGCGTGGCCAAGGAAGTAAATGGCGTTCTTAACTACGCACGCTCTTTGTCCACGGGAAAAGATTTCCCAATGCTTCTCAAGGTAATCTTCCGTCCTGTTTCGGAAACGAAAACTAAAGCTATTCTTGCAGACTTGTCTCATGTTGTGGGTTCTCGGCAACGTTGGACAATGGTTCAGCTTGCTCACACTCATCTATCTCGGTAAAGATCGACCAAACTTCCACAGTGCCTTGGTAGTGATTCTCCGTTTCCTTTCCAGGTGTTATTGGAACTCTCACGCTGCCATTAGCCTATGAAAGACACGAGGACCAGATTGATCAGTTCATCCAGAAGATCGTCCAGAAAGCGAGGAACCAGTATCACAAGCTTGACGAGTGCTGCCTTAGCAAACTTCCCCAGTGTTGCAAAAACTAGAGATTCACACTTTTAATTTAAAACGCGCCAGAAGTTCTGACGCATTTCATGCGCTTTTGAGAATATGCTGTAACCGTTATGCCTTTGCTAGGGTTTGTGGAGGGAGACGTGGCCATGTCTGCTGGCGTTCCCTGTCTCTGGGCGCTGGATTGACGCCATCGCCCTGCCGCAAGGGCGCCGGATCGGTGCCACCCTAATCCCTGGCAGCGCGCGCGGATCTGGGGGGCAAAATGTCTGTAGATAGCATGGTTCTTGAGGAGGAACTGGATAGCAGCTACGAGGCCACTGATGAAGGTGCGTTTCCCTTGCGCGCGAGATGATAGCTCGGAATAGCTGAGACAGATGGTTTCTCCTGTGTAATCGTGTAGAGGTTGCCGAGTATGCAATGTGGCTGGGATTCGATTTGCCTCATGAGAAGCAGCTGCTGTGGATAGCTAGAGAGGGATTAAAAGCGGAGTTACCAGCACAATGGAAACCATGGTATGTGTTCTCTTTTTTTTTTTGGTTTTTTCCTTTTTGTTTCCATCGATTGAGTTGGCTGCTATTGTAGTCGGACAGAAGAGGACGAGATCTATTATTTTAACTTCGATACTGGGGAGAGCACTTGGGATCATCCGTGCGATGATTTCTACAGGTATGCTTTTTTTTCTTCTTCTTTTGCTTCAATATCTGTTTCTTTGTAGGAAACTGTATAAAGAAGAAGCTCTTAAGCTGAGCAATCAACGGAAGATACAGCAGCTACAAGCGTCTTCTCGGGCAGAACAGGTAACTTTGGCTTTTTTCTTCTATATTCTGGTTGTTTGTTTTTTTGTTTTTTTGTTTGAATTCTAGGTGCGACTTAATGCTGCCAACAAAGTGGGAAATGGTAAGCAAAGTAGCCAGATCGAGTGTTGTAAATCATTTTATGGTTTTCTTCGTTGCAGGCGCAGTGGCAGGAGACCATTGCAACAAAAATACTTTTCACGTCTCCGAATGCAAGGATGTAAGTAATATCGTTTCTGTCAGCTTTATCAAATGGCTTTGTTTGTACAGCTTGTTCCAGTAACCAATATTGTTGAGGAAAAACCTGGGAGGCTGGTCGTGAGGTGGAAATCTGCCTTAAGTGATGTAACTGACCGTGACCAGAAAAGAGCTCAGCTGAAGGAGAAAATGAAGCTAAAGATCGACGACGGTGAACCGCTAGACAAAGGGAATGCGAGCCCCACCCAGATCCCGGTTATAGAACTTACTCCCGTCAGCAGTGAGCATAAGAATCCGACGCAGAGGAGCTTGCAGCAAGGACAGAACTATCAGAATCAACGACAGGAGATGATCGAACAAGTCGAAAGGCGGATAGAGATTGAAAAGAAGCTTTTGCACGAGAGGGATGCGAAACAACTCGAACGGGAGCTTGATCGTGAGCGGCAGTTTCTAGATATCCAGGAAATGCAGCGCAAACGGGCGACGGAAGCCAAAAGACAGCTAGATGCGGAGGCATATCGGAAAAAGGAGGAGGAGCTGATATCTCGAAAACAAAAGCGGGTGGAAGAATTCAAGTCAATGGTGAGCGAGGAGCTAGATTCTTTTGAAAAATCACGCAGAGAAAGGTTACAAGAATATCGGGAGAACTTGCTCGACAAGGAGATCCAAATGATGCAGTTGGAGAGAGACGAAATGAGCCGTCGAGTTTCTAAAGCCGTGGAAGGTTACGACGGCGTCGTAACACGAGAGCTGAGGACTAAGATGCTTGAGAGAGCCAAGCAAGATGTAGCGGAGACGGAAGAGGCCAGTTTTGCATCGGAGTTCCAAGCAGTGATCGAAAGAGTCGGGAAGAGCGTCCAGCTAGAAGCGGAAAAGCTGCAAAAGGAGCTCCAGCAACAAACTGAGGCTGAGATGGCGGGCCTGAAGCGCTCACTCCTGAAGCACAAGCGAGAAGAAATGCTCCTACAAGTGGAGACAGTGGACGCCGAGCTGAGAGCGGAGATGGAAAGGATGGAAACCATCATCAGGGAAGCTTACGAGAGAAAAAGCGTTAGAACAGAGAACGGTGGCGACAGGTCCCGCACTCCCGACGACATAGAAAGCGTGAACCACTTCCAGGCCAACGGTGCTTTTACGAATGCCTTGCAAAAAGCCGCATGCGAAGTGCTCCTCAACATGGTGGTGAAGGGCAGAGCAGACCACAAGGAAGAGAAGTGCTGCGAAGAAAAGTTTAGCGAGATAAAGCATTGGATGGATGGCTTCGAGAAGAAGATGAGGACGCTGATGGTGACGATAGAGGACACACGGGACTCTTTTGCCGGCTACAGGACACACTCAGATCGGCGACGACGGAGTAGCTGTGCTTGCGACGCCAACGTCCTTATGTGCGAAGCCTTTCAACCTTTCTGTCACGGATCCGGGGTTATCGACGCTGCAGGGTGCTCAAACTCGCAGGCCAGAAGCTCCAACGTAAACATTTCCCTGAAGCCGAAACGACCATCGCCAACTTGTAGCTGCGAATATTATGGCGGACCTGGAGTTTACAGCAAGCCGAGGAACACAGCGGAGCACTGGAAGGTGGACGTTGAGACGGACAGTGACGCTGGTCGAGTGAGCGATCGGGCTCATAGCTCCAGGATGGGAAGGCATAAGAGAGAGAAGGCGCTTAAGTGCAAGAAGAAGGTAAAGCATTCGCTTCAAACTCGTGCTGCTGTAGCTGGAAAACGTTGTACAGGTGAGGATCCGGGGGTGCAACAAAAGAGTGGGGAAAGAGCGAACTTTGGCAACTTAGGTGCTCCTGCGATCTACGATGAGCAAGACACGGCCAGCAACCTTGACGACGAGCCGGGTGGCTTGAGTCTAAGCAACAGCGCATGTAGCAGCAGTGGCTCCGGAGAAGGAGAAGTGAAAAAGCGCGGCAGGCTCAACCGGCTTCGCAAGGGACTGTTCGTCGTCAAGGGAAAGTTTCTCAAGTGGTCAGCCGCGAGGGCAAACGCCACCGGCACTAGCACCGCCACCACCACTAGAGCGGTGCGGGGAGTCCAAAAGGCCGATATCGCGAAGCTCCAGCTAGAGTGTCGGAAGAAGCTGAGGCAGCTACCAATCGGTTTGAGGTGGAAAGTCGCCAAGCTTGTCAGGCGGTCGCCTCGCTCCAATGGTTTCTACGCATCGGCAGACGAGTGGCCAAATCTCGAGTCTGAATCATCGCCAGACTTTCTCAATGACATCCCACCTGTGAGTTTTTCTTTTTTCCTTTCGTTTTTCTAAGCCTTTTCTTCGGCCTCCATCTGATTTCGTAAGCAGGTCTGATGGAACAAGTTACAACACCTCAAGCAAGGAACCGGCTGGAAAGGCGGACATCTTGCGTGAGGTCTGCCTTTTGTTTTCCTGAGAGAGGATGGCATTTGTTCCGAGAGAGCTTTGGATTCTTATCTCATGCACCAACCTTCCTGGCAGTGATGGCGCGACGCAAACCAACCTTGCGAAGTCAATAAGAGAGCTCTCGCTTCCAATTGCTATCCTGGATGGAGAAGGAAAGGGAAACGAAAAAAAGCAAGAAAGGCGATGGCCAACGTCAACAAGCAAGCATCTCAGTTGCGTATGCAGAAGAAAAAAGTGTTGTCAACATCGCATACTGTAACACTCCTGTCTGTCCGGCTGATCAGGTAACAGTGTCACTTCCTACTTTTGCTTCCATGTTTTCTACGCTTTTTTTCCTTCCGACTTTTCTTATGCTAACCCGATCTCTCTGCTGGGCTCTGAACTGATTGCTTGTCTCCTGCAGCAGGAATCCACAGTGGGAGATCCGCCGCGTAAGCGCGAGTGATGTCACACACCTCTTCCCGATCGATCGTGCGATGTTGCTGGCCGGCAAAAAACGAAAGGCGGTGGTGGTGCTCGCTCGCACTAAAAACTCAAAGAGTAGGGAGACAGTCCAGATGCGCTGCAACATGCTCTGGTGGTCGAGCTCGTTCGTCTCCAAGCTCTTCCTACGGATCTTTCGTCACTACAGAGATTACATTACAGATATCAAGCAGCAGCAGTAGCAGCACCAGAGATTCTTTCGGGTTTGGACAAGTCCAGCAGCCATAGCTTTTAAGCCAAGCAAGACAGGTGGGGGAGAAAGAAAGAAAAAGAAAAAAAAAAAAAACAGCACAGCGTAGAGTATGGAGCAGTACTGTATAAAGTGAACAAGGCAGATCACTTGTTGGCAGCGGTCAGTTGGTCCTCGGCTGCCCGTGGAGCTGGCAATGCAACGGAAAAGGAAAGAAAAAAGAAAAAACACAAAAACAAAAACGCAACAGCAGATCAGATGAGGAACCAAACAAAGTTGACAAAACGCGAGAGATCTTCGGTTGCTCACCTAGACCAATGGCTTCGGAACCTTTCATGATCCTCAGGCGCTTGACGGCCCCCACAAACATCCTGATCGAGAAGAAGAAACGAGCAAAACGTAAAAAAAACGAAAGTGGCGATCGACAACACTTACTCCCAAGGAACATCGCCGACGAGCATGAGATCGCCGTCCTTGTCTTCGTACGTGAGCACGTAGTCGGAGCCATAGATGAAGTTAAACTTCTTGGTGTCGCTCACGAGCTTGTCCTTGGCCACGGCCTTGCCGGCTCCGGATTGTCCTGCCAAGATCACAAGTAAGCGCTCTCTATCCTCGGATCACCGCTACGTTACCGCTGATGAATCGTCTAAACATCTCCTCCAGGGCGCCGGACAACCGCTCGTAGCTGCTGTGAGTCCGCAAGTTCACCTTCCTCCCGATTGGAACTCCATCCATGTACACCTTGACGAGCTGCGATCCCGCTGCCTGGTGCTGGGACGAAGTTCCAGGGGTGGCGGCGGCGGCGGCGGCGGCGGCAGCTGGGCTGGAGGGATTGGACAGAGAGTCCACCGTTTTGGCGTGATGAACAGTGGGAGCCGCGAGTGAATTCTTCCGGAATGATTGGACTGGGGGCCATCCCACTGGAGCCCTGTCGTCACGAGAAAGAGCTAATGAGATCGATCCAACCAAAATCCAATTCGCGGCGCTGGGACTCACCTGGACTGGCTCGCGTCCTCCACGACGTGCTTCTCCACGCACTCGTGAAGATCCGGGGGCTTGAGGTGGCACGACGAGGACGAGGACGAGGATCGCTGCTGCTGCTGCTGCTGCTGCTGCGGATGCCAGGCCTGGGCATCTGGTGTCACGCTTGGGGCAAATCGAGCAGGCTGCTGTGGCTGCGCGGGCTTGGATTTGGCGCTCGACCCATTTGCCCCTTTGTCCTCCTTGTCCCCGTGATGCTGCTCGCTGCCGTTCTTGTGGAACCCATTGGAGCGCTGCTGCTGCTGCTCTAGCTCGTCTTCCTGTGGAGATCCGGGCAGCCCCAGCTGGAGCTCCGTCCTTCGCATGTTGAGACCACCCGCGCTTACCTTGATGCTACTGCTGCTCTTGCCGGCCAGGGGATTCTGCTGCTGCTGCTCGGCCAGGCCAATGTAATCGTGCTCCTTGGCAGCTTGGCTCCCTGTTGCCTCTGCTTCCAGTGTCATGGATCGATCAATGGAGCTTCCTCTCCTGCTTGCTCCCTTGTTCTTGGAGGAAGACTACTCGCCCATCACCATCGCCTCAATCTGGCACACGCGCAGGCTTTAGATCTCAAGCTCACACAGGCTAGAGAGAAGAGAGAAGCCGAGAGTGAGAGAGAGAGAGAGAGAGTGAGTGAGAGAGCTCTAGGGAGGAGAAGAGATGTTCACATACCATCCGGCCTTTAGCCTCTCTTTGTTTCACAGAAAGAGAGCTTGCTCCTTCTCCTCCTCTTTGTTCTTGTGTGTGTCGTAGCAGCAGAAGAGTCACTATTCACTTTTGGTGTGGCATTTTGTTGGGTGCCATGGCTGCTGGCTTCCCTTCCTATCCTCTTCCTCCTATCATCAAGCAACAAATCAAAGGCCGTTTCTCTCATTTACATTATGCGCTCCAAACATTGTACAACCACACCACCTAAAAAAGCATTGGATCATTTCTTAAAACCGGCGCCCCTCTCTAGGCCCCCTGCTGCTTTGTTTGCTTGCTTGCCAAAAGGCAAAAAAAAAAAAAAAATTCACCGCCACAACATCATCAAAATTATAAGCTTTTTTTTTTTTTTTTTCTCGCCTTTTTTTTCTTGCCTGGGTTGTCAGCCCAGCATATCATCTCCCAGAAGATATCATCAGCACCAAAACAATTAAACCCCACAGACAGAGGGACGACAGGCCACTAAGACGCGGACGGACCATCTAACGCTTTCGGTCAATCAGACGGATCCGGTCAAACGTGGGGGCTGTTTAGCTGACGGAGGTGAAATAAAATTTTGTCAACTGTTTCAACCCCCTGGTAAAACGACAAGGCGCAGACAGGAGTGAAATTTAATGGCGCAATTGCCGTACCCCCCTCTCCCCAGTGCATGTTGGGGTGAGGTCGTGGTGACGGTCGTGCCGTACGACAAATTCCTTCCCTTCTTTACTGTGATGGTCTTCTTTAGCGTTTAACCGGACCTTAGCCTTTAGGTGGCGATCCGATTTTGATTGATCTTATAGTTTTTGCTGCAACCACAGTGGAGCGGAATGGAACGAGAAGGAATCCTCCCGACATTGAGGACAAAATAATACGATTCCGGGGAATAAAGAAAGGGTTTGCTGCAGCGATCTTGTTACGCCAGTGGCCAACCGTAAGGCTGTGCCATGTTTTTATCACCACATTCTTGCAAAATAAAAAGGCGTGGGTGTGTGTTATGCTTTTTCTTCTCACTAGTTGCAATTCTAAATTTTATTTGTATTTAAGTTTTCGCTTTCCCAGCATTTGTCTGCCTTTGGGCTCTCAAAGACCGGGCAACTTGGCGCGGTTATCTCTTTTTTTTCTCTCTCTGCAAGTTTTTTAAAATATATCTGTCTGTATATGTAAGAAAATAAAGCCCTGGTTTTTTAATGGATATCTGCGTATGTATAATAAAATAATTTCACAAGCACACCAGCGTACCTTCTCGTTGGGACGAAATAGTAAGGAAGTTAGCTGCAACAACACTCTCGGAGAATTATCTCGTCTTGAATGAATCTGGCATTAGCAGCAGTCGATAGCGACGAAGAAAAATAATAACCAAAAAACAAAAAAAAACTCAGGGAAATAGCCCGTGCTTCTCCACTGCTCAAAAGTAATCAATTCATTCATGCGATGGTAGAGAGCCGGCGTAAGAAGAACGCAACGCAAACAAGAAAGAAAGCAGGAACTAAAAGAGATTTCACGGCACAGAGAAATATGCAAACCCGGAGCGAGTGGATCGAGAAAGCTTTGCATCGATTCAGTCAGAGGGACGGACGAAAGCATCCAAATCAAGCTTCGCTCAGTTTCCTGTAACGGAAGCCTATTATTCTTATTCAACGAGGCTGAGGACGGCACAGCCAAATAAAATTCCACTTACACAAGACACGTACCTCACAGCTCGAGCATCTGGCTCGTTGTGCTGGTTCTACAAAAATGGAGGAAAGTGGCTAGTTGGCTGCTGAGTTCAGTTGTGTGTCCTCTGTAAGTTCATCAAGTGAGTCAAACGAGGATGGAAAGGAAAAAAAAAACGAAAAGCAGGCGCTGTGGAATGACGTGACTGAGAGAAAGCGAGAGTGATGCAGCGAGCCATCAGTAAACAAGAACTAGTTATCAGAGACAAGAGACTCTGAGAACTGGGATTAGATGATTGTCATCACTGGCTGCTGCCACAAAACCGAGAGAGAAAAAAGAGGAGAAAAGAAAAAACAAACAAGAAACTAAACTCTGGCATGGAGGACTACTTCAAACCTTTGTAGACTTCGGGGAGCTGGAGGCCGACTCTATGAGCAGTGTCTTTCAATCGCTCCTTCTCCTCTTCCGATCGGTCCACAGCTATGTTGTAAGACAAGAGAAGATCCTGCAATCAAGAAAGAAAGGAAAAGAAAGAAAAGAACACGAGTAAATGATAGAACGCAGAAACGTTCTCTGGCGATAGTGCTAGAGATTTAGCTTGGAAAGAGGGCGAGCTTACGCTGTGATGGTGGACGCTGGCGACCAACGAGGCATAATCCTTGGCGAGCCGGAGCTTATCGTAGGCATCGGCGGGGGAGAGCGCCGCATTCTTCCGGAACTCTTCCGCCATGAATTCCTTGAAATGCGCTTCGCTACTTACATGCTTCTTCACGACCCGGAGGAGATGCCTGTAGGTCGATCGCACCGCCATCGCCATTTGCTGGTGACCTAACCCTAAATCCAAGAAAATGGCAAAGAAAATAGTAGAGATAGAAAGGGGTCTCCGCCAAAATCGATCGGCCAGGAGCCCGCATTTTGGATTGGCCATCGCGGTAAGCTGCCCGATCGCTCGCTGCTCCCCTCGACTGGCTGCCGATTGATGCAAAGATCGCTGGTGCTGCGACGGGAGATCGCAAACGGGCATGGCGAGCGTGCGGTGGAGGAGGATGGAGTGAGCATGGATTCGCCACGCAAAGGCAGCGGCGGCGGTGTGTGTGAGATGGCTCCTCTAGCGGGATATAGGAAATGGGGACTTTTGGGCAGTTTCTTAGTCACAGCAGTGGTGCTAGTGGTTTTCCTGTGCCACACCGAGTCCCGGCGCGAGCAGGAGATCTTCCAAGACGCGGAGGTTTTGGAGGAGCAGAGGAAGAACAGGATGGCAGCGGTGGAGGAGAAGTTCGCGTTCCATGACACTGTCGACGCGTTTCGAAGGTGGGACGAGAGCGTGGGGTGCTCTCGGTTCCGGCGGAGCTTCCGCAACTTGACCGGGGATTTTGTTCCTCGCCCGCCGAGCTTCCAAGACCCGGAGATCAAGTGTAGCAAGCTCCGGAAGAAGCACGTCGGGATCCACGTAAAGTCGTGGACGTGGATCCCGGACAACTTGGACAACTTGTACTCTTGCGGCTGTGGATTGAGCTGCCTGTGGACGAAGTCTCCCGTGCTGGCCGACAAGCCGGATGCGCTCTTCTACGAGTGGAACAAGCCTCCCGTGGAGGTACGCTAAAGGTGCTGGATTGTTTGTGCAAGTCCTCTAAAGTTTCTTCTTTTTTCCTTGCTTTTCGATTCCACAGAGAAAATCGGGAGACCCTCTACGCATCTACATCGATATCGAGCCCCAGAAGCAGCGAGCCCCCGCTCAGGACATTTTTGTCAGCTACCACCATAGCTCGGACGTGCAAGCGACGTACGCTGGCGCGTTGTTTCACAACTCGAGAAATTACTACATATCTCCAACCAAGAACAAGGTACATAGCCGTTTTGTTTCTCTCTAGGCTCTTGTTCCTCACGGTGTTGTTCTCGTTTAACAGGAAGTTCTCGTTTACTGGTCCTCGTCGAGGTGCCTTCCCGAGAGGCAAGAGACCGCGAGCAAATTCCTGGCACTCGTGAACCACCACTCGTTTGGGAAATGCCTCAACAACGTCGGGGAGAGAGACGCGGCTCTGGAAATGTATCCAGAGTGTAGGCAGGAAGGGCAGGACCAGCAATGGAACCAACATCTCCACTGCGCGATGTCGCACTACAAGTTCGCCTTGGCGATCGAGAACACGAGAACCGAAAGCTACGTCACGGAGAAGCTCTTCTACGCCCTCGACGCCGGGACGGTCCCCATATACTTTGGAGCTCCCAACGTCATGGACTTCGTGCCTCCCAAGTCGATCATCCTGGCCAGCGAGTTTAGCAGCATGGAGAGTCTGGCCGAGTTCGTCAAGGGACTGGCTCAAGATCCAGTCCGGTATGCCGAGTACCACGCTTGGAGACGGTGCGGAGTGACTGGGAATTACTACTGGGCCAGAGCGCTCAGTCTTGATTCTCTTCCTTGCAGGCTGTGTGCTTGGATAAGCAGGAACTAAACTGAAATAATCATTTTTGTGTCTGCTCAGCACAAGATCGGTTTGTATCATGAATCTTCTTTGTTCGTTGACATACTGGATATTAAGAGATACACAACTATAATTGGCAATGCGAACTCATGAACATTGATGGATATTATAGGAATATTTTTTTGTACCAATAATAGAATCTTAGAACCATCAATAGTTTTAGTTGCGAGACTTGATTCCAATTGCACTCCCAACTAAAAGAGATCTAACTATTTAATCATAATTGTAAGTAAGATTTATTTATCCATTAACTTTCTCCTAAACTTCAGATTATAGAAAAAAACTGAAGTACTCCAAGAAATTAAAAGTAAAATATATTCTCATTCACATATTGCTTCCGAAGTAGTGCATGTGTTTTGTGATTGAGGGTTCAGAGATGCTGTGGCTTTGATAAGCAAAATATGATAAAATACCAGCCTTCGGCCAAATGCCATATTACCTATATGACACATAATATTCACTGTCTCAGGGGGTTAATAAAAGAAATGCTTTTGCTCGAGGCACAGACTGATGGGTCCCATTGAAATGATAAGTTGTTCAACCATTGATAAGTAAATGCTTAAATCTCCCATAGGTCACGAAAATTCACCAAGAAATGTTTTAACCTTACCATCCTAGAATATGCCTGATTATATCATTGGATGGTTTGTGAATAGCTAAACTACAAAATTGATTTAAATATTTGTAACTATATAAAAAATATTCTAAGCATATTCTAAGCTGTTTTGCTTTCCATCAATGTATCTTACATGTTTTGAATCCTGTTGTGCCTCATAAGAAAACATATTAATGAAAAAACCATTAACATTCATGTATGAAAGATAACTCCAAAAAGTAAACATGACACTCAATCAAAGTGTTATTATCTTATACTTTTATTGTGTTAAATTAAGTATTTTCTCAGCCAAAAGAAATAGAATAATTTTACTTTTCATTAGAACTAAACCTTTATAAAAATAAATCTCAAGATGGCTAAACATGGATATGGTTGCTTTCTTGTGAAGTTGTAATACATAACAAACTTGCTCCTAGTGCAAATGGTAAGCCAGCCGGAGAGACAGTCAACTTAAACTTCCTTTGCTGGAAGACGTTATGTGGCACAATCACTTCCTCTCGCGACAAGCCTGCATGGTCGCAAAGCAAAAGCTATTGAGAATACATGAAAGTTTCCAGGGACATACCTGGAACTTCGACACAAAAAATGTGGTGATGCTTGCAATAGCTGCCTTGACACGTTTGCTCGTGGCTGCAGCAAAGAACGAAATGGAATTAGTAGAGGTAAAAACAAATAACACAATATACTCGTGTCCAGCTCGCGAGTGTCCGTTGCACTCTTGGGAACGCGAATGGTAAGCAAGCCGTTCCAGAAAGACGCTCTCGCCTGCTTCACGTCAGCACTGGAGGGAAGCTTAAACTTTGTTTGCTGGAAGACGTTGGCAGTGGTCTTAACGACGAGTTCCGGCCCTGTATTGTCCACAATCACTTCCTCTCGCGACACGCCTGCACAGAAAGCTATTTGAGAAAACGTGAAAGATTTCAGGGACATACCTGGAACTTCGACGCGAAGAATGTGGTGATTCTTGTCATCTACAATAGCTGCCTTGAGACGTTTGCTCGTGGCTGCAGCAGAAAAGGAAAAGAAATTAGTAGAGGTAAAAGAAAAAAAAACCATAATACTTGTGTCCAGCTCGGCCTCGTCACGGTCCTCAATTGGCACTGTCGAGGTTGTCCCTTCGAGCGCAGCGGCCCCCTTGGGAAGGCGAATGGTGAGAATCTCATCCTGCAGATTAGCTATTAAACCGTCGACGTTGGTGTAAGGAGGAACGGCAAGCTTTTCGGGGCGGTAAACGTCCATCTCCGTGGAAACAAGCACACCCCGTCCATGTTTTTCAACATGCACTTGATCCAGCGACGAGAGACCTGTACAGTAGTACGCAAGAGAAAAAAAAAACATGAGATAACGTTGTCTGCAGTTGACTTACCCGGCACTTGCACATCGACAGTGTAGAACTGCTGGTTCTCGAAGGACGACCACAATAGCTTGCGCTTGTCATATCCTGCACGCCACAGAGAAAAAGAAATTAAAAAAACTCCAGGCAGGATCAAAGCCATACCTTTATCAATGTGCTTGAGGCAGTTTAGCAGCAGCTGGTAAGCATGTTTCTTCTCAAAGTTGTAGAGAGCAACTAGACCGTCGTGATCAGGGAACTGGGGCAGCCCCCCGGCATCAGCCACCTCCTGCGCCAACTTGATGCTCCTGGCACACTTCGTCAAGGAAGCGTTGGAGAAGAAATCAGTGCATGGAACGACTGGTGTAGCATATGAGCTAGATTGCTCCTCGATCAGAATGGTGAGGTTGCTGGAGTGCAGACGTAAGAACCTGGTCCAGCACTCAGCGCCAAACAGACGCGCCTGCTCCTGCAACTCGTGCACGTTTGGCTCCCCGGAGAAGACTTCCTTCTCGGCTCGGCAGGCAAGAGTCCGGCAAAAGTCGTGGACGAGGCGTGTTTCTTCACGTGTGCAGTAATGTAGGGGGGGCTCTCCACGCGAGTCCCGCTTTGCATCCTCCCAGACGTCGTCCACGAGCTTGATCATGTGTGTATATGGGACGGGGTAGTCGCCTATGTCGTCAAACCCGAGTGGTTTTTCAAGACGGGGGAATTGGCCGCCCACAATTTCGGTGTACTTGAGGCTGTGATGCAGGAGATACCCCTCGAAGCAGTCGGTGGTAATATCAGAGTTGCCCAGCACCTTAAAGGCTTGGCCGAGGACACGGTTGTCTAGGCGGAGCATCACCATCCACAGAAACTCTCCAAACTCTTTGTAGGCTTCCTGGGTGGGTGGTTTGCTCACCTGAGAGACATTCCTGCCTTCGCTGCCGCTCCTACTACTCGCGATTGCTGTCTGGATGCCGCTCCTACTCCTAGTCGCCGTTGCCATGTGAATCAGCCGCCTGAACATATTGTAGGGCTTTGCTCAGATAATGAGCGTGCCGGGGACTTACAGTCGGGCTCCTCAGATTCAGATTCGGGTGAAGGTATTCGTTTTCTCTCCTCTCAATATGCAAGCTCTAAATTGTTTTCCGCTTGAAAGCTCAGACGACGAAGATGAAGACCTTTCGAAAGGTGACGATGATTTTATGGAGGAGTACTCCGACGCTATCCAACACGAGCTTAAAAACTCGAGCGTCTCCAAAACATTTGCTCAACCTGACGTGTCTCGCGCTTCTGGGTCAGCATCTACTTCTGCTACCGCTACCGGAGATGACAACTTGCCCGTGGACGTAGACCTCAACCTGCTTAAGAACCTGCTCGACTCGTACTCATCGCAGCAAGGCCTGCCCGGACCAGCGTCTAACGTCCTGGGAATGATGGGAATGCAGCTCCCAGACGACAAGGAGGAGCATAAACGTAAGACTCGGAGGAAGTGAGCGTCGATTTGGACGAGACAGAGACGGAGACAAAGCTTCCCTCGTAGAAACCAAACAGTGGGACTGTGTTACAACTTAAGGCCCACGCGTTCGGATGAGACCAAGGTATTCACATTTATTTCTTTTCTTGCCTCACATTTCTTCTCCCAGATAATACTCAACTTGGACAGTGCATAAGACATGTTAAATCATCGTTTTATGTTTTAAATTTGCGGTTTCAGGAAATGTCGGGTATTTGAGAAGCTGGATCATGTGGTTCCACGGTTCCAGGATCAGATCACGAGGCAGTAAAGTCGCCCAAGCTGGGAAATGAAGCAGCAGAGCAACAAACCGAGGGACATGGAGAAGCGGCCAAAGAGTGCTGGAGCAGCCTCCCTGTCGCTCAGCTGCGGGCTCTCGTCCTGGGTGCCAACGACCGCCTAGTCTCAATAGCATCTGGGCGTGAGTGCCAGGAACAGTAACGAGCGTCATCTCCGAGCCTCATCGCCGGCGCGTGCAGTATGGCGGTGGGAGAGTTCCTGTCGTGTCCTCGCAGCGCGACCACGAGCCGAGATAGAGAGGGAGGGGCGGCAGCACGCCGCCGGGGGTGCGGGAGAATTGACATGGACGCGCTGGCGCGACCGTGGCAGTGTCGACGACGGTGTTTACCACTGGCGGTGGCGTGCCCCTGCTAGCCGCGGGGTTCGTGGAGGCGTACTGCCATGGCGAGGCTGATGGTGTTGAGGCCCAGATAGTCGTGGACGAAGCCAAACACCGCGTTGGCGGCTGCATTTACAGTTGATTGTTAAAGTTAAAGCCGACTCTTTCTTAGAAGAAAACTAGAAATTGCCCAGCAAAAAGCCGGTGGGTTGGCAAGGTGAAGTTTTCAAAAAACTTAAAATCCGAGCCAAAAGACATACATTGGCCAAGAGTTTTATGTCATAGAGACTTGGATAAGTTGAAAGTTTTAGTGCGAAGAAAGTGTGAAAGAAAGATCTTGCCTCAACTGCCTATGTGTGAGGTGAGTACCAGATGATTGGAAAAGCTTTGAGATTTGGGCATCATGGTTTTGTTGCCAGTATTTCTCCTACGTAAGGAAAAACCAAAACAGAAAAGAAAACTGTTAAGTTCAAAGCATAAGAAAGTGAAAACCTTCAATGGGATTCTCAGGAGCAAAGACACCACAAAGTATTGCGAAAATCAAATCAAGAAAAGAAAGAAAACAGGAAAGAGTTGAAGCATTCTAGAAAAAGATGCCTGCATGGTTAGCAAGGGTAAATATAGTGCTAAAACTGATGGTACTAATCATTATATTATCTGATGTTTAATTTGCATTTGTTTTTCTTTTCCCGCTAGATAACAAAGGAAAAACTTATTGTGAGATTTTTTTTTCTTCCACAAAATGGAAGCATGATACCTATTCCCAATTGGAGCAAAATTATCTCAACCTAGAAGCTGCCTAAACCTAGACATGAACATCACTTTGACAAGTATTTTCCATACTTTTACATATTGTACAGTGTTATGAGCTCGGCAGTGGTGGAAGCTATGGCTTTCTCTACTGCGATGGTGACCTTTTCTCAATGCTATTGTGATTGAAGTTTTCTGCCATGTAGATCAAGATCCAAGATCTTCTTGGCACCCTGCCTGTCTGTCCCTATGAGTACTTACTTTTGTTTTTGTTTCAAAGACTTATAGAGCTCACCAGTAAGCATGCTCCAGCTTTGTCACAATGGTTGCCTGGGTGATTCTGTCCATCCAATTCCTCTTGCCACCCAGGTTTGTGGAAAGAGTTCTTTTAGAGATATTAGCGATTATCTTTGAACCAATGCAGGTTTGGCGTCTTGGTGGCAATCAAGCACGTGCTATAGAGCAAGGGCAAGTGACTCCCATTCTTGATCTCGATGGTAAGGTTTTGACCTGGCACAAATTGGCAGAATAGAGCAATTTCTTATCCCCAGGTAGGAATCCGTCTTTGTTCTTAATGGTAGTTGAAGAAGGTGGCATGGATTATTCTGGAGCCTTTATCTCTTGAAATGGGGAATTCCACTCTCAGCATGCAAAGAACCTAAATCATAGCTGAATTTGTGGATTCAGAAAGAAGCAGCCGTTTCGCCTTGGTCACATTTGAAGGAAGCTATCACCACTATAGCTGACCAAGAAGCTTGCTGGCCTTTTGCATTAGGTCAGCAACTGGGATCTTGCGCAAGTTGAGGTTAGGATTCTGGTCAACATGATAGTTCTGGATTCGCCTAGAAATGGTGGTGATTGGGAAACTCTTAGTCCAGTTTTGCATTTGTTTCTTGTCTTGACTGTCATAGGCAAGATAAGGGAGTGCAACACTACAACGTTGAAGGTTCTGTATCCTTGCCGAGTGAGAATCAATTACATTTCAAATTCTTCATGTACTTGTGTTCTTGGGCTCAGGTAGTAACGCTAGCTTGTGGTCAATCCTTTGCAAAGACAGAGGCCATCTCAAATAAGTTCAACATCTATAGAAATGAGATAAGGTTTTCAACACAGCTAGATTGCAGTCAAACTTGCAGTCTTGCTCATGTTGTGTAGCTTAGTCTTTCAGTTTTCTTCTTTCTTAATTTCCTGTTTTTTTCTCCAGTTCATCATTCTGCTTAAAATGATTAGCATAAAATGTAAACTAACATAAAATGTAAGCTAATATTTCTTTGTATCTCATATGTGCTTGCATTCGAGACATCTAAAATTTTGGCTGGTAGATGGAAGAGGATTAGCTGTTACAAACAGCCAGTTAGCTTATTGCAGTTTAAGCTATACTTCATCAGAATATAAATGGAGGAATTTGGCAGCGGCGGAAGCGTGGCTGACGTGTTTTGAAGGTGGGAGAGCATGTGATGCTCTCGATTCTGGCAAAGCTTCTGGGAAATTTTGTTCCTGAAGCATAAAAAATCTGAATAATCAAAAATTGAGATTTTATTAGGAAGTGTTCACCAGTGCTTAGTAAATGTTCAAAAGAAGCACCGAAGACTGTGGAATGATCGCGAGCAAATTGTCAGCCACCACTCATTTGAAAAATGCCTGAACAATGTCGGGGATAGCGACGCGATGTCCCGCTACACCTTGGCGATCGAGAACACGAGAACCGAGAGCTACATCACGGAAAATCTCTCGACACCAGGATGGTCCCCATATACTTTGGAGCTCCCAACGTCGTGGACTTCGTGTCTCCCATCCTGGCCAGCGAGTTTAGCAGCGTGGGGCGTCTGGCCGAGTTCCTCAAGGGACTGACTCAAGATCCAGTCCGGTATGCTGAGTACCACATTTACGGAGTGACTGAGAATTACTGCAGGACTAGAGCGCTCAGTCTTGATTCTCTTCCTTGCAGGCGGTGAGCAGGAAACAATGATTTTGTGAGTGCTCAGCTCGCCGTTTGTTTGTTTCTCAAGATCAGCATGAATCATTCCTTCACTTTCATTTGCGGCTCACGATTAGCACACTCGGCTGACATACTTGAGAGTAAGAGATAGCCACAACCATAATCAGCGAACTGGTCTTCATCCACCACCGCCATCTTCTTTGCGATTCGCTCCCCTCGATCGAGATCTCCATGAAGCTTGCAAGCACTCAGCAGCGAGCTCATCGCAGCCGAGTCAGGCAGAAACGGCATGCTGTCGATGAGCTCCTCCGCCTCAGCTAAAAACTTGGAGCGTCCCAGAATGTCGACCATGCAATCGTAGTGAGCAAGCAGAGGCTTGATCCCGTGCACGTCCATCATCTCCCGGAAGCTCTCGCGCCCCTGCTGGAGCTTCCCTTCGTGGCTACAGCCCGTGAGAATGGCAACAAAGGTGAGATCGTCGGGCCTGACACCGTCGAGCGCCATGAGCCTCAATGCCTCCAAGGCGAAGCTGCTACGCCCGGCTCGAGCATACGCGGACACCATTGCGTTCCATGATGGCACGTCCCTGCTGGGCATGGACTCAAACGTTTCCTTGGCACTCGTCATATGCCCGGCGTGGGCATACCCCACTGCGACAATTGTCCAGGAGACGACGGTGTGGCCGGGCATGCGATCGAACAACGACTTTGCCTCGACCATCTTCTTTCGACCCACATACGCGAGCACCACGGAGTTCCAGGAAATGACATTCTTCCTAAAGGTGGCGTGGAAGATATTTACAGCTTTGGAGACATGCCCGGCCTGCGCATACGCCTGCACCATTGCATTCCACGACACTGTGTTCTTGCCTGGGATTCGATCAAACAACTCTTGAGCGTCATCGAATAGGCCGCGGCGAATGTAGGCCTGTGTGATTGAGGTCCAAGAAACCACGTCCGGCTCTGGGACCAGATCAAAGGTTTTCTTTGCCAGCTCAAGCTCTCCAGTCTCAGCGTACACGGCCAGCATCGCATTCCACGATAAACAATTCCTGCGCGGCATTCGATCAAACACCTCCCTTGCTTTGCGGACGACATGCCCATTCTGAGCATAAGCCTGGACGAGCGCGGTCCAGACCACCACATCTCGCTCGGGCATTTGATCAAAGACCAGTTTGAGCTCGCCTACCATGGACTTTGATCCAAGGGCGGTGATAATCGCAGTCCAGCCCAAAAGTGTGTTCTGTGGCATCAACGCAAACACGCTCTGTGCTTTGTCAAGATGCCCAACCTGGGCATATGCAGAAACTATGGCAGTCCACGCCACCACGCTCTTCTCTGGAATTAAATCAAAGAGTAATCGAGCTTGAACAAGGCTTCCGACTAGCAAGTAACCTTGTAAGAGCGAGGTCCATGCAACGAGATCTCTCTCGGGGATGATTTCGAAAAGTGCTGTAGCGCTGTCTAATTTTCCGTTTTGGGCACACGCCCACATCATCGTGTTCCAGGAGAAGATATTGCGGGGAGCAATGGATTCAAACACGGCGCAAGCCTCGCCCAGGTAGCCGCATTTCCCATACGCATCGACAAGGAGGTTCATGAGGTAGCGTCGGTCGTGTGTTGCATAGGAGCCGGAGAGGATTTGTCTATGGAGATGCCTTGTTTTGTCGAGATCCTTGTTAAGAGCGCAGGATCTGAGCTTGCAAGCGAGAGCAGAGACATGCTCTTGTTTGGATTGACAATGTAGGTGTGCTAGATCGGATCTAAGCAACACCCGAGAGAAAATCATTGGAGCTCCTGATCATGTTGGCATATGCGTAACTCCGGGCTAGTTTCAGGTGGCACCGACGATCATGTCTCCACATTTGGTGATGTATGATCATCATGTTCCAAGAAAAGACGAGCAATGGACTCAAGGTAGCCGCATTTCCCATATGCCTCGACAAGGAGGCTGTTGAAGGAGCGAGCCGTAGAGGCAATGGAGATTGTCAGCTTGGAGCTTGTAAGTGAAAGTGTCAACAGATTTTTATTATTAGAAAAGTTATGATAAAATACTTAAAGTGTTATAAAGGTTTCAAAGGAATTGATGACTTTGTTTATGACTTTTATATATATATATATATATATATATATATATATATATATAGACACACACACAACTCCGTCAAAAGTAAATTTATAAGAGATTAAATGTTTCACTCAAATATGGATAAAAATGTGTAAAATAAAGACATTTCATATATTTATTATAATGGTATTTTTAGTTAAAGTTAAAAGTATAAATTACGATTTAAGTAATGAAGTTAAAATTCATTATGGATACTGATATTAAATGCTATTTTTTAAAAGTAGATAAGTATAATTTTGGAACATTAATATTTGGTTTATTACTTTATTTTGATGTGCTATAAATAAAAATAATGTTTTCGTTGATTTAGTTGTATATAAATTTACATGGAGAATCAAAAATGTAAATATTGGTATCCATGATGATGGAATTTCTAAAATGATAAAAACAAATTGTTGAGCAGCATACATAGAGTTTATTAAAGCTCTGTAATAAATAAATAAATAAATACTCAGAATTTTGATATATTAAACTTGAATTTTATTAATTTTAAATTTAATATATATTTTTAGGAGCTCATTGTTAAAAGAAGGGAAAACAACAAAACTACTAATAAAATACTAAAGAAAAAAAGAATAAAAGATGGATTTTAATCCAAAAACGTAATTAAATTTGGGGGTAGGGCATAGAATTTAGTAAATCAAGTATTTAAAAAAAAACACTTATGTTTTGAATTGTTAAAACACTTGGAGTGTGATACCAAAAATAATATTTACATGTAAAACTTTCTTTGAAAACTTCTTTACAGCTCAGTGCCATATAGGACAATTCATTTGCCTATATGATTGCACTAGCTTTAGGGCCTAAGTTTGACCAAAGAAAGGCAAAAGGGAGAAAGCTATTGTTCTTCTTTGTTGCTTTTTCAATCACGTCTCAACTATCTATACATTGTTATTATCAACAAGGCACACTACATGGCTTAAATAAACACTTAAATTCTTGCATGGCATGGACTTTCCTTCTTCTTGATTGTTCTTGTGATCTTCTAGTAGTAATGTTGGGGAATTTGGGGTACTTGCAAACATGTACACTAGTTTATTGAGCATGCCTAGGCCTGCTGTAAATTAGCTGCTCCAGCTCCAAAGAGCTGGAGAAAAACAGAATTCCCCTAACAAGTGATAGGCTAAAAGCATTGATTGAGAGAGAGAATGGCTTAGGTAGGAAAAGAAAAATGGGAAGAAAGTCTGGAGTGTCACTAGTAGCATTTTTGGATTGCAACTGTGCTCTTGGACATTCCTGGCTGATTTTGAGGGATTCCCACCTGATGAAGAATGGGATTTCTTGGCTTAACCATAGCTATTGAGGATTGAATAGATTTACTTAACAAAGAGTATTTACATGGTTGGTTGTACATGTAGCATGAAATATTTTCATATATGGCATGCCCGAATGCCAATATTATCACATTTTGATTACTATATTATAGAATTCAAAATATGATTGTGTACATTATAATATTTTGTGGAATAAAAACTGTAGACAGAAATTTTCACAAAATTTATAATAAGGGACTTCGTATGTAGATCTATGCAGATCTAATAAAACATCACACAAGGGCCACAGTCATTTAACATAAATGTGTAAAAGCAAACTAAATTTATATGGATAGAATGGGTAAAGCCATATAATTTAACACTCTTCTTTTGTGTGCATAGTATGTGCAGTCCTTTGCAATGACTATACCATATTCTATCTTAAATTTCTTAAAACATAAATAATTTAGCAACACTACATTTTATAAATAATAACCTTACCATATTAGATGATGTAAAATTAAACTGTTTTTTCAATGTTTTATACCAATTCCTAATAAACTTTCAAATTGGAAAACTGTTCTATTAAACAAAAGTAAGCATATTTACCATAACTAAAGCTAGTGGCATTGATTTGCTTACAAATGCAACTATAGATCTCTTATTCTTTATATAAAACTTAATCTTCAAAATATCAATAATCCAAAACATATTCACTGTTTAATAAATAATTATAAATTAATTATTTTAAGAATATTCTAAGAAATTCGAACCAGAAATAACTTAAAAGGGGAAAAGCTATTTAGAATTATTTGACCTGTTAATTGCTATGGCAGCTAAATTTTGACTGGCTGGGACGAGTAGGTTCCGGTCAAGCGGAGGCAGCAGCGGGTTTTCTACAAACAGGTGGGTCGCCGCGCGCGGATCCCTATAATCCTTCTCTCCTCTGGTTTGGTTTCTAGGCTTGAGTGAATGTTTTGAGCATCGCCAGTAACAATATGGCGTCGCTCAGAATAGCCACCACTCACTGCTGCCAATCGCAATTGAAGCAGGAATTTGGATCGAGTTCGCTGCCGCTGAGAGGAAAGGGCGCGGACCTGAGAAGAGCAGCAGCTAGGAAGAAGATCCAATTGTGCTCGTCACCGTCATTAGGTTCCAGGACCGCCGTGATAAGATCCGCCATGGCTGCTCCACTTGAGAAGCCGGCCCATCTGGAAAAGCTGGAGCTCAAGCCCGTCACCACCATCTCCGGTACTGTCAAGCTTCCCGGCTCGAAGTCCCTGTCAAATAGAACACTACTTCTGGCCGCTCTCGCCGAGGTTGATACAAACTCTCCCCTCTTTCGTGCCTTAGGTTCTTCTGGAAGCTGCTAACTTCGTGGAGCACAGGGAACTACGTTCGTGGAGAATTTACTGGATAGCGATGACGTTCGCTACATGGTGGCAGCGCTCAAAACTCTGGGACTTGATGTGAGTGAAGATCGGGCGAATAACACTGCGACCGTGGTTGGCTGTGGCGGAAAATTCCCAGTCAAGGAGCAAAATGGAGAGGGAATAGAGCTCTTTCTCGGCAACGCCGGGACGGCTATGAGGCCATTGACAGCAGCCGTTGCTGTGGCTGGAAGAAATGCAAGGTCACTTATTCCTTCTTCTCCTTGATCTGGAGTTCTTATCAGTTGTTTGTGGTTTTATCACCAGGTATATATTGGATGGAGTTCCTCGAATGCGGGAAAGACCGATTGGAGATCTAGTCGACGGTTTGAAGCAACTTGGAGCGGATGTGGAATGCAACCCAAGCACAAGGTGTCCGCCTGTGACTGTGAACGCCAAGGGTGGTCTTCCCGGAGGAAATGTAAGCTTTTTTGCTCTCTTTCTTCTTTTTCATGGTCGAACGTTGGTTTTGGATTGTAGATCAAACTCTCTGGATCCATAAGCAGCCAGTATCTCACCGCATTGCTGCTGTCAGCTCCTCTGGCTACGGGTGACGTCGAGATTGAGATCGTCGACAAGCTCATCTCGGTCCCATACGTTGATATGACTCTAAAGTTGATGGAGAGGTTTGGAGTCTCCGTGCAGCGCTACGGAGCCTGGGAGAAGTTCACGATTGCTGGCAACCAAACTTACAGGTAACCTGGTTCTACTCCTTCATTTTTTTCGCCCTTTCCTAAGCTATGGGCTCTTGGAATGTAGATCGCCTGGGAAAGCATACGTCGAAGGAGATGCGTCCAGTGCGAGCTATTTTCTCGCAGGAGCGGCAATAACTGGAGGCACAGTCAAAGTCGAGGGCTGTGGTACTACAAGCCTTCAGGTACATACAAAAAAAAAAACCCTCTTTGACAATCCTAGCATGCCTCATCGAAATCTTTCACAGGGAGACGTGAAGTTTGCCAAGGTTTTGGAGAAAATGGGAGCCACTGTGGAATGGACGGAAAGCTCCGTAACAGTAACCGGCCCTCCAGTGAGCACCAAGACGGGCCGGAGGCTCAAGGGGATCGACGTGAACATGAACGCCATGCCCGACGTTGCCATGACGCTGGCGGTAGTCGCGCTCTATGCTGACGGCCCGACCGCCATCAGAGACGGTAAGGCTAAAGTTTCTATGCTTTGTCTGATTGATAGCTCTCTCTTTCATTTGTTTCTTTCTTTGCAGTCGCAAGCTGGAGAGTCAAAGAAACCGAGCGCATGATAGCGATTTGCACCGAGCTAAGAAAGGTAAGCTACATGATTTTCTCCTCTTTCTAGCTTGCTTGGCTTCTCTCTTTCTTTTTCTTTTTCTTTGTTTTGTGCTCTCCTTCGATCGATGTTGCGGTTCTGAAAGATCTAAATTTTTGGACGCGTTTCAGCTCGGAGCAACCGTGGAAGAGGGCCCAGACTACTGCATTATCACTCCGCCAAAGACCATCAAACCCGCAGCTATCGACACTTACGACGACCACCGGATGGCGATGGCCTTTTCTCTGGCGGCGTGTGGAGGCACGCCTATAACCATCAACGATCCCAGCTGCGTGAGGAAGACATTCCCGACTTACTTCGACGTGTTCAGCAGCATGGCAACGCTGTAAAGCGAGAAGTTTGAACGAAGAACGAGGAAACAATTGACAGGACTTATTTAACTTCGCTCGGCAACCAAATTTCTTCACGGAAGAGCTAGAGGACGGAAAAGACAGTACAGTCAGGCATTGGAAAGATTGGAGTTATCTGTTTTTGTGAGGAGTTTCGGATGCGTTGAATATCCGACCGTTGACTTAAAAGGTAGACAAGAAAAGCAGTTATTTTGCATAAAAGATATTTAAACACGGATGATCCAGTAAAGCTGTTTTTAATTATTGTTTAGGGATTAATGACGGAGATCCGGGCGCTGGATGAGCTGCTGGGGCATGCCGAGTCGCGGCTTGCAGCACAGTGCTTCAGTGTTCCTTACCAGGGCCATGCGCACGAAGAGCTCTACCGCCAGGTGCGTGAGCTCCGTCGAAAGGTCCGGCAAGCCCTCCACTACAGCGTGTATGCTGCGTTTGTTCAAACGTCGGGATTTGGCAAAACGAGGGCGGTGTTTGAAATGGCGTGCCTGGGGGTGTATATCTGCTACTGCAGCCTGGCAGCCAAGGGCTCCTCCGCATTTCCTCCCAGGACGGAGCTCCTTGCGGACAGGCTTTCGGAGGCAGCGAGCGAGATCGAGATGGTGCTGTATCTCAAAGCTTGGCTACTTGTCTTGTACGAGGAACTCCAGCGAGGTGTCACCGCCCAGCAGTGGAAAGACATGCAGCTTCCCGGCGGCGGGAATCTGGCCAAGAGAGTCCACCAGGTGTGGAGTGATCTCCTTGACAAGCCTAACGAGGAGGAGTGGATGGTGTTGGACGATCCAGACAAGGCGAGTGCTGCCATGTTGGAAGATCCGATAAGTAGAATCAATGGCATGTTTCCGCCTTCGGCTTCTCGGCCCCGTGTGATCTTCGTGTTCGACGAGGCCAGAGGACTGCAGGACGACGCAGAGCTTGGAAAGGCTCCGTTCAACCAAATCCGGAGAGCTCTCAGGGTGTTTTTCAACCACAGGCAGTTCTTTGCTCTCATGCTGGACACGGCTTCAAAGATCTGCAAAGATTTTCTCCCGAGGAGGAGTGAAGAGGACAGCGCAAGAGCTTTGAAGCTTGCACTGGGGCTGCTTCCGCCAATCTACTTCATCCCCACCCTGAGCGTCAACAAAGTTGTGGCGGGGAAGACGAAGGAGGAGTATGTGAATCCGTTCGCCTGGATGACATACGGCCGGCCTATGTGGGCAGCGAGGCTTGCAGTAGAGAAGGATACAGCCAGGCTTCAGGAGTTTGCAGTGCAGAAGCTGGTGGGTGTTGTGCGGGGCGAGTTTCATGGCACGCAGGTGAATGTTGAGGAAGGGGAGATGACGGAGAGCCAAGCCATTGCAATGCTCACGGCCTGTGCAGGTTTGCAAGTATGTGCTCGCTCGCCTCTTGCCGAAGTAATGGCTGCGTCGCATATGAACTTGGTGCTGCGGGTGGCGAAAGGCCCAAGCCGGATATTCGTGGGGCTTCCAGTGGAACCCATCCTTGCCGAAGCAGCAGCAGGGCTTCTGCGCGACGACATCGTCAAGCAGAAGGCGCTAATGCACGTAGAGAGCGCATGCATGTCTGGCTACGTGACCCCAGGCCCCAGGGGCGAGTTCGTTGCCAAGTTCATTTTGGTGGCGGCATCATGGGCCTTGGCAGACGACAACTTGGACGAGCACTACCTCCGTCCGGTTCCCGTGGCTGACTACGTCCGCAAGCTTCTAGTCAATGGGCGGGCCGATCATGCCTCCTTCAGGGAGCTCGAGCGCAACCTTCCAGCCGGCGGTATGGTTTTCTTCAACGCTTTTGTAGCCGTCAATACTGTTCCGGACGAGGCCATGCTCGGGAAGTGCTGTGCGAGTGGCTGCGCCATCATGTACAGCGCCGACAATAACTTGCCAGGAGCTGACGCGATCATTCCGGTATGGAAACCCCAGGGGATGACATGCATCGTCATCTCGGTGAAGAACTTGCAGAGGGCCGGGTGGCTAGAGAAGGCTTCGGTGGACAAAGTCAAGTGTGAGTTCACAAGAGTGGAGGTAGCACAGGGTTTACCAGTTCTCTGCACGGTGGCAATGTCGCTCAGGGAACCCAGCATGCAGGACTCAACCAACTGGATATTGTGGGATGATCTTCCCGACATGCATAGTCATGTCACTTGCTACGGGATCCAGCACAACTATGACTACTTGTCCACTGAAGTGAAGCAGCTGCTGCAGAGCATCCTGGTTACCGTGCCTGATCCCATGCACGGTGCGAACAAGGAAGAGGCGGAGTGGATCAAGCAGATGTTGCCAGAGCGTTTTGAGAATGCGGAGAGGCTCTTCCGTCGCTGGAATTGATAGCATTTTCCTTTGTTAAGGTTAAGTGAATATCTAAGTATATGTGCTCTTAAACTGAAAACTACAGGAAGCATTTTCATGCTTCTGTTTTCAAAGAACCTCTGTCACGGAGTTCCTCGCGTGTTTGACAAAGTTTTTTTCTAGTATTAAGTCGCAAATCTTTGCTGAAGGAATTGATCCTAAAACATTTACTGAAACTTAGCCATATTTAGAACGAGAGTAAACAAATATAATTTTTAAAAAATGATGAATAAATAATCTGAATGGACCCCAATTTATTTTATGGATCATCCCCAGATCATCTATATACAGATTGATAAGGTTCATCTACACGATATTCTTGTTTAAAGGTTGGTAAAAACATAATATATGCATATAATACAATTCAATGGTTCTATGGAAAGGGATGGTTTAAATTTGAGTTGAATTCATGAGTTAAGCTCAATTAAGCTCAAGTCAATATCAGCGTAATTTGATTTGTTTGTTGGTTTATTATTACATTTATAATAATTAAGTATTATGAATTTTATTGTTGACAAAGAGTGCAAACTTAATAAAATAAAAGCTATTGATTGGCTATGTGATCTTAACAACTTGCTCAATTATACGTTTTAGCTAACCATATTAACATACAATGGTAGTTCTATCTTTTAACTTTTATCCACACTATCAAGACTGAAAACTACAAAAAAAAAGAGTGTGAAAAATATTCTATTGGCATCCACTACATTATAATTATGTTTTTTATTGGGCATCCAAATACTTGTTTCATTACCATGATCACAATTTTAATTATAAAAACAATCATACAATAGTAAAGCATAACTCAAATAACAAAATAGGCTATACAAATCTCTTTTGTAAGATTGTTGCCACTTTAGTGAGATAGAAATGGATCAAGCTAAAGTGCCATTTTAAAAGATATTCCTGTAGTTGCTATTGGAAAAGATGAAGAAGTCATTTCTCTCTCAGAAGTAATATCAGAAAATGAATTATAAAATATCTGGACCACTAAAAAAGCACAAAATAAAATATTCTCAAAGCCCATCTAGGTATACTTAATAGCATACCAAAAATATAGACTCTTGGTGAACTTTAAACTATTAAATTCAATTTGTTACCAGTTCTATTAACTTATTGTGGTCTATGTAAAAGAACTCAATTAAAACATAAAATTCATCAAAATCACACACATTTTAACTTTTAAAGTCTCATCAGCGTGGGTATGCAAACTGGATTTTACTGCATGCAATAATAGGATTTATTATCAATGATCCAAAATATAGGAAACTTTATTATTATTTTTAAAATACTTATTATTAAAAAGGAAAACACTTACTTTACTACCCTTAATCCATATATCACCTCTTCCTTCATGTTTAAATATCACCAAAATTTTAAGCTCGAGTATGAAAATCAAATGGTTTTGGCTGGAAACAAATTTAGAAAAATCTATCTAAGTATATTCTTTAGTATAAAGGTATAATGCTAATTGTTTTACTTATTATTGAAACAAACCATGCTAAGATCTACTCTGATTTCTCCCTTGGTTTGTGGCTTGATCTCAAGCGAGGGATTGTACTTGGACAGGCGTGACACACCATGGAAATCCATTACCTCCATCTTCTCATGCTCTTGACATGATATAAAGGATCCATGATACGTACAAGGTTCCTACAAGTTGGTTCTTGTTTAGAATCAAGAAGGTGATGAAGTGATATATTCAATTAGAAGTCAGCAGAGCCCTTTATTGATACACAACTGTACCAAGTTCGATGGCTCCGTGCCTGCCTGGAGCCTTCATCTTCAATAACGCGCCATATGCCTACAGTATGGCCTGGTCTTGTCACAAGCACTTTGTTGGTCCCCACAATGGTTGCATTTACAAGGAGTACGACCGTGACATTGGAGTTTTGAGGATTTTCTTCATCAGGTATAACCTTCTGGGTGTGTGGTTATTTGAGAGCTACACAAGCTCACAGGAAAAGGGAAGCTTTTGTCAAACAGGTGGTATGATGACAAGAATTGGAAACCGAGACAACACTTTGTCATTGCTTGTTAGGAGCACAATTTACGGCTTGCTGCACAATATTAGGGCAAAGAAGACTTTCGTTTTACTCCTGGAGAAATAAGGAAGAATCGCAGTATTTAAAGGGTATTATGATATTTTCTTATGGTTTTGTTCTTTGGCCTTGTGTCAAATTTTTAAATATTTTAAAATATGTATGAGATGTAAAAAAAACCCATTATTTCATTTAAAATTTAAATATTTTATAATTAAAATGATCATTACAATGTCTCCATATGTGTTGTCAAAATATGGAAGTACTGTTTGTGTTGATTCTTCACTAGAATGTCATAGAAAAGCTTGATCCCAGTAACAAAAGTTCCCATTAATGAAACTAAGATAGTTTGTCCAGGCAGTCCTACAATAAGAGTACATTTTTTTTTAAATATTAAAACCATACCGAAAGAAACAATTTCACACCAAGCTGTTCATCCTACTCAATCTAAACGGGACGGAACAGCCTCACATCAGATGCCACAGAGGAACTTAACCAAGAGAAAGAGAAAAAACTGTCGGTCAGTCCGCATTGGGGCAAATTGGTCTTTGCTCGCTTTTCCTGTACGATGCAAAGAAGAATGGCAGTGGCAGCAAATTGAGGAGGAAGGAGTGATCTATTTTGTCGAGAACTTTACAAGGAGATTCCTCTGGAATGTCATAAGTACAAAGTTTACACTGCAGAAAGTGGACAGTCCTTCACTCTCTTTTGGCCTTCCTTGTGTTCAGACGCTCACGCCATGGACGGTGCATTAGATTAGATTAATCGCACTTAAACTAAACACACACTGCTTAGCACTAACACTCCCTCCCCAGTGTGGTCCACGATATGACAAACTTCGCTTCACTCATGAAATCGACGTTCGATTTGCAGCTTGTTGACGCCAACTCACGTCATTGACGGCTAGATTCCGCTGACGTGGCTCAGCCACGCTGGAAAATGCCCGGCCAGCGGGGCGGCGGGTCATCATTTCCACACTGTGGCCATATTCATGCCAAGCGACTCAACCGCGGTTAGGTCTTGTGACCGCGGTCACTCCATCCAGAGTATAGCTTTCTTGTTCTTTTTGTGGATGCGAGGGAGGGAGGGAGATGGTGCGCCTACACGCTCGCCTCGCCCACCCGGGCGCACAGTTCTTGTTCTTGATCTCCCAGGCGCCGGGGCAGATGGATGGCGCCATAGATGCGCGCCGCGTCGAGATCGGCGGAAAAGATTTCGCTCGCGTTCTCGCCATTTTCGGCGCCGCGCACCGCAAATCCTTCGTCTTGGAGCTGGAATCGCCCCCGAGGTACGTAATATCGAGGTATCCGCCGCGACGAGCGATTTAGGAGGCCGAATTGCAGTGTGTCGAGCCGAATTTCTTCGGATTCCACAGTGTCAGTGTCGCAATAGGCCCCGGCCTTGATCGCTAAACCTGTCGTGTGGATCCGGCCTAGAAGTAGAATCAAGTGTCGCGAGTTTCTTTCTTGGCAGGGTTTTTGGTGCTCCGTTCGTGCGTGGCACTGCATATAGGAAGGATTGTGATGCATGGCATGTGTCGATGGGAAGTTTTGCTTGCGAGAATAGCCTTGGAGAGCTTGCAATCGCTGATCAAACAAGGCTTGAGGTTTTTCCAGGAGAAATCTCGAAGGTTTTGTTGCTAAATTGTGAGTGTGTCTGTGATATTGACAAGGCTCAATCAGGCTGCAATGCTACTCGAGCTAATTAGTGATGCTGCCAGCTTGAGCCGTGCCAATATCACATAGATAGCTAGCCATGACTTCCCTGATCCCGCGTGTTCCTCGAGTCGAGCTTGACGTCTTGGACTTTCCATTTTCAAAGGCAAATTCTTATTTTTCTTCTTCTTCTTTTTCCATTGGACTTTGCTAGATTGTCATGGCCAAGTTTTCCGGTTCCGTATGCTTAGCTCTTGACTAAGTTGCTTAAACAAGTAGCAATCGCGCGAATGTGCTCTTTCCAGCTGACGTGCTTTGCAGGCTTTGAGTAATCTGGCCAGCTTAGAATCCATTCTTGAAAGGAACGCGATGTTCATCATGCGAGTGGGGACTAGGCTATCACTCTGGGAGACCGGGCGGCGTGGTTGCAATGGAAGTTGAAAGAAGGTAATGTTTAAGCTATTCTTTTCTTTTTTTCTCCCCCGCGGACTATATCGTATTCTATCATCTTTTCTCAAAATGTCAACTTCCGAGCTAGAAAGAGACCTTTGAATTGCTGCAAACCAGCTGTGTCGAAGGCGATCACCAATCGAGCGTTACGCGAGAAGATTTTAATGTTTTGAGGCATGGGCGACAAGATTGAAGCGGGGTTGACTAAATTCGAGTAAGAAACTCTTGGAGGATTTGAGGCCGCGCGCATGACACTGGGTGTAGTGAGCTATATCTGGGAGAAGTAAAATTAATCCTCGGAGGACCTTGGCCTGGGGAATGTTCGCAAAGAAATGGTCACAGTGCTCGAAGGATGGCATGATTTGTAATGCTGGATGTGTGAATATGTTTAAACAAGCCATGGTACCATTTCCATGCACGCTTGGATTGGACCTAGTTAAACTATGTGTTGACCCGTGAAATCCTAAGATCGTTTTGGAAGCTAACAACACAAGCTATAGTTATCAACACACACCAAAAACTTTCTTACCCCTTCCCTCCACGCGAGGTCAAGGCCGTCATGATGATTTACCCGGGTGTCGAAACAACCATCTCGGATTCTTTACTTTTTTCTAAGTTTTCACCCTCTCTCGGGAATCATGAATCCACGAAGGAATCCATTAAGGCAGCCTCGGAATTTCTCGAAAGTTTAATGAATGGTACATTTTGTGCTTGCATTGCAATGCAAGCTAAGGTAAAAATGTAAGCTTATAGCTGACCTCCGTGTTATTATAATTGTTTAGCATCTTTCTATGAAGATTTGCAGAGAGAGCTACTCTAAGAGTTTCTACCATGAGGGGGCAAAAAGGAAGACAAGCACAAGCTAGATAAGTTCTATAGCATGATGTATGTGGCATGTGGCGCATGCCACCATGATCATCATGATCTCCACCCCCGGAATTTCCACGCACGCCGAATTGTACCGTGGAGAACACCGACCGATCCCCCAAGGAAAGGCATGCGCCACCCCCATGCCATTCATGTGATCCCCATCTCCCATAGATTCTCTCCCCATGCAGCAAATGCCCAGTTGCGGCAAAAGCAAGCGCGCAAAACGCACGCCCCTTTTTCGTCAAGAGGATGGAAGACTCTTGCTCCAGGCACGATGTCACGAAATACCACTTCCTTGACACGCGAGGTGTCAATCTTTTGAAGTCTCCGTCCCAAAGACAAGAGATCGATCCAAGCGCGCTTTTCGTGAGAACCAGGATGATTACACGGAGAAATGTCTTTCGTCAAATGGCTGGCTTGACATGCTCGCAAACTTCCATTCGCTCTCGTTCTCTCGATGTTCGAAGTATTTTATTTCTATGTAGAGGTCGTATAGGCAGTTGACTCACTAATTTACTAGCATGCCTTGTCCTGATATCGATCATTCAAAAACATGGCGCTGCCTCCAAAGTGATTATCACAAATCGAAGCTGGTTTTCCTGATATACTCCATGGCCAGCCCGCGCCCCCTCAAGAACTTTCGCATTAAACTGTGTCGTTTCTTTGAGTGGGATGGGATCCATCTATTCCTCGCCTTGATCCCAGAGCGATGATTCTATACTAATATATATACACATATATATACACCTGCAACTACACGAAATCGAAGTATTCAAACGCAATAGCAAGTTATAGTCGTCGCGTACTGCTTGGATCTTCGTAACTGGATCACAAAAGGAGACCGCGACCATCAACATTGAGCCGCGCGAAAAGAAAGCTTTGCGCATGAATGAATGGAGGCGTGCCGCTGGGACCAATTTCCCTCGCTTAGATTATCTTGTATACAAATGTATTCCAGTTCCCAACAACAATAGCTGGGGGGCTTCACCTAAGTTTTACATAATTTCTTTGTTTTCTCTCCAGTTATTTTGGTGTGTAGATCACGGGATGGCGTACAGACGTACGCAGCATATTGTATCTCTACATGCTCTTTGAAAGTCAAGGTTTATGCTTGTATATACAGTGTTGAGCGAAGCTTTACCACAGCAATCATTCGCTTGTGCATGCTTGAGCTCGAAACTTCGAGATCTGGAACAAAATTATATAGCATAATGTTTGTTTAGCTTGTCTTTGTTACTCCTGACCCTCGCCTGATCATCTAGCTAATGGATGGTGAGTGACTTTTGCAAAATGGGTGTGTGAAGAAAAGGTGGCCAAACAAAAAGAGGGGAAAAAGTGGTGGCTTGTCCAAGGCTCGCAATCATGGAGACAAAATGTACAGTGTTTGTTTTTCTGTGACTTTGTCTAACTGTTTGATTTTGAATGATCATTCTGACAATCTGCATTTCTGTGTTGTACTGGAGAATAAGTCACAGGAATAAAAAAGCTCAAGGGCAAGGAAGAAAAACATCAGATCAGAAAGAAAAGAACTGGCATCATTCCTTTTGATACCTGGCAATTGGCTTCACTCATTTCATCTCCCTGGCTTGGCTTGTGGTGGCTTAAACCTTAAAAACTGCATAATTATACCTAGCTTGGCATCTTGGAACACATGAGTTATCAAGCAAGTATTGTTTATCTATGATACATTGGTGATTGGTGTGTACATTTAAAGTCAATCAGTCACAATTCCATGGAGAATTCCCTTTGAAGCTGCTGGGTGGATCTATTCTCGACTTCCAACAAACAGGATTTTCAAAAATTCGAATTCGGCATATTCGGATTGTTTTTTATGCGCCATTTTTCTGGGGGGACTAAAAGTTTGATTTTCCTCGGAAGATGGAAAGTGTGTGTGTGTTGCGGGGTGAATGAATGGGAGAACGAGGGCTATAAAAGCTGTGCAGCATGGGGCTTGATTGAGCATGCGTTTTAAGATCCTTTTTCTTTTGGGTTTGTTCCTCTTCTTGAATCCACACGGGCTGATCGATTCCTTCCCAGATTCCTCTTCCTCTTTCTGAATCTGAAGTACTGAATTCCTCCTTCTATTGGTGTGTTATTATGGAACAAGGTACCATAGATGCAAGATAAAGCAAAATCCATCCAAATCACCCTCTCCCAAGTGCAAGAAAGTCTATGATCACACATATATAGGTGAGGCTTTTGTTTCCATCCTTTTTGTGTGTAGAACAAAGGGTGTGGATTTTTTGGTGGGAATGAATGCAGCCCGGATGCCTTTGCCAACATGGGTGTCTGTGAAAGCTTGCAGGGGAATATTCGCATGGGTAGCTAGTCATTATGCTGGTTTCATCTTTTCTTTGTTGCTTGGGCAGGCAGCGAATTGTAAGTAATTGTCTGGGTGGTGGGGGAATTCTTGTGCTTTCGGTGTCTCCAGATCTTGGGTTCTTGTGAAAGTCTTTGAATTTGCGCCTCATAATGTGTGTATGCATATATAGGTCCTGATTTTGTTGGATTTTCATGGTTTTGATTTTGGCTCTCTCTCTTTCGGGTCGCTCTTGGAGGAACGGGCAATTTTTTCTAATCTCATTGCATTGAATTTGGATCTTGAATTTGTGTGTTGCTGTCACTGCAAGCTGGTTGCTGATTGGTATGGCGCGATGCAAATTTCTCCCATCTCAATCGAGCAGGCGCATTCATATCGATCGTTTTCTTTGCTCTTTCTTCGTGTTTTTGTTTGTTTGCTTGTTTTTCTTTCTTTCTTTCCTTCCCATACAGGCATATGTGCGGAATGTGTAGGTCTTGACAATGGATGCTCGCAACAAGGACGTCAGCAAGGAAAGAACAAGGTGAAAATTTTCCTTTTCTCCATTTTTAAAATGGACGAAAGATCGCATATCAGATCCTCTTGGCGATCACTTAAAGGTAACAGGTTAATTCTCTCACAGTCCCTCCTCTTTGGTACCGCGATGGCGATTGCCTGCTTGCGCTTTCTTTCTTTCTTTCCTTCCTCTCTCTTCCTGCATAATTGCCGATCACAAGCTCGAGTGGTTCTTCTTGCCTGCTCTTCACTTGACAGAATCCCAGCATGTTTTTCCCCGACCATTAACTCTACACCACTCCCGTAAGCTTCAAGCGAGCGAGAACGAGCAATCGTCTAGTGAGAAGCATATCATCTCATCAATCACTCACTGCCAGTCTAGACTTGTGTGTGTGTGTGTGGGTACAGTGGTTTTCCTTGTCCACGAGAGTGATGATACTCTAATCCAATCCAATGCATCCAAACAGTCGTCATCGCCCCGCTCTGGACAGTGCAAAGTCCTTGTCACCCCCCGTTTGTGCTCCCCCGTTTGCAACAGAAGCACACACACAAGCTTCACATAAACCTTTGTCATACAATTTGCCTCAAGCCTCTTTGTAGCCAAGGCCTCTATTCGAACCAGCAGCAGGGATTCAGGCCGGAAGCACGCATCTTTCCACTGCAAACGGCTTCTTTCTTCCTATCATTACCACACCAGTCCTTTTCCTTTTGTTGGGTGATAGCGGCAGAGAGAGCTTGCCAAAACCTCATCACAAAGAGTGTGAATGTATGTGTGTGTGTGTGTGTGTGTTAAGAGCGAGTGCTTTCACCACTGCACAATTGCATTGAATTCCACCTCTCTGGACGACTGTTGCTGAGCGTGTGAGCGTGAGAGCAATTGAGAGAGAGTCACTGTGCGCGCTCTAACAGGAACAAACAAATAGTTTGTTTGTGTTTGTGAGGCACAGCAGCGGCAAAACAGTCGCAGCAGCAGCGGCAGCAGCAGCAGCAGATGCTCACGCTTTGCTCATTTTCGCATCGTTTCCTGCCTAGTATTTCTTGTGTACTGAGCACAGGTTTTCATTGTATAGTCGTGTGGGAATTAACTTCCGAATGCCGCCTTTCCTTTTTTTTTCTCCGTTTTTTTTCTCTGGCTTCTGCTTCTGCTGCTGCTGCTGGTCTATCCTTGTACCTATGCCGAAAATGAAAGGCGTACAAATATACACACGCAGTACTCTTGGGGAGGGTGTGTTCTTGTTGGTCTGCCTCGTACTGTCACTGAGAGCTATACAAGATGATAGATCCACACACATATACCCTCCTTCACTCTCTTCTTCACTTCACACTACAGTTGACTTTAGAGGCCAGTTTTTCACTTTTATTTTTGCCAAAATGACAAATTCTTGTGCATTGGCTGGCTGCTGCTGCAAATGCCTCCTGGTTGTCCTGCACTAGAGCATTTAGTACAGTTGCACAGGGAAGTTGTGAGTTGTGTGGCATTACTTGGCTCTCTGGCTGTTCATTGTTACTATTTAGCAATTTTCTTGGGATTTTCCTTTCTTTTTTTTTTTCGGTTTTTTTGTTTATATAGGTGGCAAGTCATATGTCAGCATTTGTTTCTCAAAGACCTTACAGGAGGCAGCATAGAGATCTTAGTTACTAATCACTGCCAGGGGGAGGATCAAATTTCTTGTGATAGCTACAGTTTCCATCTCTTTCTTTCTCTCTTCCTTTCTTTCCTCTTCCTTCCCGACCGGAGCTCGACTTTCTCTTCCATTCC